ATTACAAATAATGTTGAAAAAAATGCATAGTCTTTTATCGAACGAAATAAACACAATTTTGAAATACATATATATATTGCCTTGCATACAGGTAATCCTACTAAACTAAATGGCCTAAACGGTATCCCCGATATCGGCTTACATTGCTCAACTATGCGGAATCATCCGGCAAGTATTATGGTGTAGAAATTGTGTTTTGAAATATTTTTAGTTTTTGACAAAATTAATCATCTTTGATTTTTTAAATAGACACAATAATTTATTCTCACTAACAATAGACAGATCATAAAAAGCCCCGGTATGCATGAAAATGTATCATAATGTTAAATAAATTTATTGTATTTTGTGCATAAAATCGTATACTTTCTGACCTGAGGATTTTAAATCAACGAAGCAACAATTTTTTTCTGTAGCTGCGCATCGCAAAACTGTCCTTCTTGTGCAACGTACCTTCGCGCCTCTACCCCTCTCCCTGTTAAAGTGCCCGCCACACGAAGGCAATCTTCCCAAAAGCAGACAGATGAAAGGGTTGTATATTAGTTCAGTGAAATCTGTATATATTTAACAACAAAAACATATTACAATAACAACGATAACAAATAAAAAAAGAATAATGTAGTTGTGCATACCCCCGAAAAAAATAGTTTGTTAGTTTAAATTTTGGATATACTTCTATGCCCACAACATTAACTTATCCTTAAATGAACAAATGGAAATGAATTCGAGTTGCTAGAATTCTTTCGTTATGGCGTGATTGCCTTCTGATGTATCTTTTCTTGTCTTCCCCTGTTGATGGGATTTTTTTTATTTTACGAAGCCGCAGCATTTCGCTATGTTCAGTTTTAGCGCTACTGGTGTTTGGATCGCTATCTGAACACTTTTGCTGAAAAATCTGTCAACTTTCAGTTAGCCAGTACAGTGCCCAGGTATATATTAGACATATACACTTATCAATATGCTTTTTTCAAATTTCGTGTGTGAAGTGTGATTGCATTCAATAGTTCAGCGAGCGACTTGCAGAAACAGTCTAAACACTTGTCAGCACTCTAACACTGGCCAGCCGGCAAAAAAGTTATTGGCATTTTTGTTCAATGCCTATAATTTCACCAATATTATAATCTGATTCCTCAATGCTATGTTATTATTATTATTATTATTATTATTATTATTATTATATTATATGTTTCATTTATTAAGTAAGTGCCTTTGCATTATTACAGAATTCAAAGCATTATGAAGAATAATTGAGATATTCAATGTTGCTTGACGATTAATCTATGATACTGCCCTCCCGTATTGGTGCCGGAAAAATATTCTAAGATGTTTCCTTTCACGGAACTAATTTACGAATGACGAACGGATGCAGGCATGCCGAGCGTTATCTCGAGTCATCAAAGTCAAATATGCCAAATGTCATAATTAATGAAAAAATAAATGCAAAATTGTTCTAATATTGCGCAGAATCGGCGAATGAAAGGGTCTAGTTTCAAAACGCAACATTTTCAGCCAATGGTGAAAAATTAGATTACTGCTTTCATAGGTCCGTGCAATTAGCGTGTCGTTTTATAAAATGATTTGTAACAAAACGCGTTTTTTGTTCCACCGCCAGAGCTCCTGAAGATTATGGAAAGATCGCGTTATGAATATATAATATGTTTAATATCCGTACGCGATATTTCCCGCTAATCTTCATTTCGCTCTGCCAAAAATACCGATCTTTCCCATTCTTAACAGCATCATTCTGAGAAATCAAACCGGGTCCTAAGCATGATTAAGCTGATCTGAAAATGATAGGATGTGAACGTCAGCTATTACGTCTGCTGATCTTCATGTTTGATAAAAAAATTTACATCATATATTGAATCGAAATTGGAAATAATTAAGATCTACTATTGTAAAAATACCTAATGAAAGAAGATTTTTCACTAAAAATACGTTTTCACAAAAAAAATACAAAAATACTTAAAATTATATTTCAAAATAGTTCTTTTTAAATTTTAGCCTCAACTTGTCTTCGTAATGACTAAGATGTTCCTTAATATCTTATTCTATGTTTTGACTTTCATAGCCGAGAGATTAAACCCAAACATTATCATCAGAATGTTTTAAAACAAAATGATATGACTTTTTTGTTTTTCTCCCAAACCCCAGTCATGAAGTAGAGAAGTCCATTTTCAAACTAGACCCTGAATTAAGTGTTTACAACCCAATATTTTAATTTTACATATTTTGATTGTGTCACGTGAGTTGGGACCTTTTTGCTTAGTTTTTCAAATAAAAATATTTATGTAAATTGTTTTGGTGTTATTGTAACCCTGCGTTCATGCTGGCTGAAACGTTAAAAATCTTTTTCCCAAAAAAACCGTTTTTTTTAACGGTGCGTTTTCCAAAACCCCCACCCGTGGTGCTGCCCAATTAAAGTAAAAAATTTTTCCGGTTTTTAAAAAAAAAAAAATGTTTTAAACGTACAGCGACTAACATATATTATTGTTATGCTCCAACACTCCATAATGCACAATTTTTTAATTTTTAATACAATGGATCAATTTCTAATTTCATTTACTAATTGAAATATTCGCCTTCTTCGCCCCGACAGCGAATTTTCACCGTATTATGCATAAAATTGTCACCCGACAAATGTAAAATGTTATAATTAGTGATTTTAAATTGCAGGGTAGAATGATGAAAAAATATCCCTATGTAAGGGTGGGAACGAACCCCGCAACTTCACGAGGCATAGAGCAGCACTTCGATACTGAGCCATTCTTCACCCCTGCCCTGCTACCCTAATATAGACCATCATATTTGTACATTACGAAACTGAAAGAAACATTAGCGTTTACAAAAATGTAGTCAGGTGAGTTTACTGGCAGGAATCACGAAGTCCTTTTCCTCCATTTGCCTACAATTAATTTTGCCTCTAGATGGATGTTAAAATATTTTAAACTCTCTCCCCAATAATGAATAAATTAAATCTTCATAGCGAACGATCGTAACAAGAAAACGTTAGCTTTCGAAATAAACGGTAGATAGAGCTGTCGGCATGAGCAGGATGTCCAGAGACATCAACCTGATTGGGCAAAAGGCATTTTTCGCACGCGAAACTTTATTTTCCAAGAGTGTACCGAATGCGGACCTGCTAAGTAGCTAGTGTCGAAACCTCTGTAGTCGTCGGAACTCGAACCCTAGGAGCATCCCGCAGGAGCCACTGCCAGTGACATCAGTTGCATGCCCATGAGCCCACCTACGCTGGTAACCTCCCACGACTTTCTCGTTGGTATTTCTCCTCTTTACAACACTGCCCTGTCGCTATGTTAGTCCTTTGACAAGAAAAAAATCTCTTTATAAAAGATCATTTACACTTTTTTGAAGAAACCCCGATTAGGTTTTCCCGCCCGTAATTTGTGCTTGAAATTAATTGTAAATGTATATAAAAAACATTACTTAAAACCCTTAATTTTTTTCACTTATAACCATGGGACACCTAAGCATGGCGCGCGGTCATAATTTGTTGAACCATCTAAATTTCGAAATTTGCAAATGTACAAACTAATGCGAGAAGGTTATGATCTGTTTCGCACAACTCAGGTTTCTTTGAAGTAGGTACGTCCAGTATTCTGTAGTATTAGTTATGAAAGCAACAAAGTACGATGTCTCACGCGCTAGCACTGATGCTGTCGCTGAGTTATTTCAATAAAATTTTTAAAAATTTCCTTTTCTTTCAGAAGTCAAGCTTAAAGAAAGCATCTTTCTTGGACCTCAAATTAGAAATTTGAAGGAACTCTCCTTTTGCTGTAATGATTTAAAGAGGTAGGTAGAGGTAGGCGAGTTGCTTTTTGTTAGAAATACAGAAAAATCATACTTGCAATTCGGTACCGCATGCATATAAAGTTTTCTATAAATCAGACCACCCAAAATGAATATCTGTTTTTCAAATGTTGCTAATCTAGTTTTAAAAGATATTATTATTTAAATTTATTTATGTTCTTTTTATTAATTTTAGACATTTTATCAATTTAAAAAATGGGGAAAAAGCGGATTTCTGGACGAATCAAGAAAATCGTGAGTAAATCTTCCCCGATACGATGTCACATACAGTGTATTTACTGTTTTTTTGACTTAATAAATCTAAATCTAAATCTAATCCAATACAGCAGAAAGGACTGTGCGCAAATCAGAAGAATGTTGTCCAGAGGGGGATTTCGAGACGAATAAAGAATCGATGTCCGAAACTGGCAGACCATCATCCGCGCTTACGCGTCACTGCCAATGAATCCCAAAATACCCTCGTGAATGTTTATTGATTAATTCCTTTCATTTGGATTCCTTGGGATCTTTGGGGGCACAAAATGCTGGGATCCTCCTTCATTATACTTCAAACAAGTCTCTCGGCCACTCACTGAATGTCGCCCATCCACCCTAAATTAAACTTAAAGGCACCGCCATCGCCGAGACTTGAAGCCTTACATTCTTGCCTGTCAACGAAAACTCCAATTTGCGCGACTAAATCCACAACACGCTATACGCCGACGACATGACGCGAGCACCCCTTGGTCGCCTCTTTTGGGAGAAACCAAAGTTGGACCGTAAGGCTAGCAACAGCGCCCCACGCGGACAACATTCCGACGAAGAGGTAAGAGTCAGCAATCGCCAGGGCACGTGCGGCGAAGGCTTGGCCCGCCGCAGGCGGCGCGGCGGGCGAGGTGCGTCTACCCCAGCATTCAGAGCGGGCCGCGCCAGCAGCTGCGACTCGCGCTGCGAACCCCCTGACGCACAGGGCACCCGCCCCTCCCCCCACACCCCTCCCCCGAGCCCCGAAACCGCGCCACCTATCCTGCTGCACCGCGGATTGAGCCTTATCCCTCGCCCCGCCTTCGCCCCTACGCTGCACCCCGCTGCACCCCGCCTCCACCGTCAGCCCGCTACGCCTTCCCGAGGCTTGCCTTCCCTCCTGTCCCGATAAGAGGGCAGAGGGTCTTCTGGCTCGACAGTCGCTGCCAGTCAACGTCGTCGCTATGTGGGCGACCGGTTTGCTACTCGCCCTATTCGGTAAGTGCCTTGCCGGAAAGGGTTACTTCGCTGGCATCTTGGATGTCCTGCAAGGGACTGATGTACGAAGGTCGATCTTCTCATTCAATTCGTGGGGGCAGATATGGTTCTTCATATAAAAATTTGATATCAGAATCAGAAAATGTCTAAAATGCCCACCCCCAATTATTCGAAATTCAGAAATGAGAAATATTTTTTTTGGTAAATGGATGAAAAAAGGATATGAGGAAAGAACAGGACTCACATTGGTTTCTTTTGAATTGTAATTCCTGAACACGGAATTTTATGGAATCACCAGCGCTATTTCACCTTTGTCAAATTCTTGCAAAAGAAGCCAAATTTAATTTTCTGATTGTTAGTATATTTAAATGCAGAAAAATGATCTTGTGTCCGGCGGAAACGGACACTATATAGTTTTCGAATCAGCTCGTACGTGAATGTTCTCCTGCACGGCGCCAATGCCAAAGGTGAACATAACATGTCAATTTATGGGCATTTATTGGGAATATGTGAGCATTGTGCGCATTATCTAATATACTGAATTAAGCATTTCAAATGTGTAAACATGTTTCTGGAAATGCAATTTACAATACATAAATGCCGAAGTTTAGAATAACGTAATCATAAAATAATTAGGACCTTTACATGTTTGTCACCAATTCGGTCTTATTTGAGATTAATTTTGACCCGGATATGTAAACAGATACGTTAAAATCTTCCGTATTAATTCCATAAAATTCTGAAATAATAATATTTTTTCAGGTACTTTCAATTACAAAATATGGACATTTTGGTGGAGATACGCATCTTTTACGTTTTCATTGGGTCCGCTACGACTACTGTTACATCTTGTTAGATTCATTTGTTTATTATAAATGTTCTTTGTTTCAGGGGCTGCCATAGCGTCCGTCCAGCCTGGACAAGAACTGCCAGGTGAGTAATTAACTGCTTTAAATAAAAAGAGCGGGGTTGTCGATAAAGTTACTGCCACTTGGCTGAAAAAAATACCAAAAACAGTTTTTCAATCTCCCAGCCTCCTAGTGAGACATACAATAACATATGTTTAGCTCACATACGTTGTTACATTTACATTTCCGGCATTTATCACGATTTCGTACAAAAATAATTTATGTGGCTCAAAGTATCCTATTTTTAGCCAACACTTTTGCTCCGTGATCAGCGTTCACGAAATGGAGCATTAGTAGCTCTTCAGAATGTTCCAAACAGTTTTTGGAACAATTTTGAAAACGATTGGATAATGTTAAAATAAAGGATATGTTCTTTGTAACTAAGTTAATCCAATATTGGAGACACGTAAATGTTTTTCTCTTGAAACATTCGAATAAATTTGTTCTGATTAATTTTATTATTTTAAAAGCACTGGATTCAATTCAGATAAGTGATCTGCTGAATATATATTAATTTGCCAGTAGATGAAGTTTACATTCCTTTGCACAGGATGGGAGAACGGCAAGATGTACGTGTACAAGCTGAGGAGTCGATCCTTCGCTTCCAACAACGAGATCAACAACCAGTACTCCGGCGTGGTGACACAAGCCCAGCTGTACTTACAGGTGTCCACCAACACCCCGAACCAGCTGAACGCGTACGTCAAGGACGCGCAGTTCGCCCAGGTGCAGCAGACGCTGCCTGGCGGCTGGGACGCCCCGCTGCAGGGCCCCGCGCAGCCCAAGTGGCAGCGCCTGCGGCTGCGCAACCCCTACTTCGCCATCAAGATGGAGAAGGGCGTGGTAAGGCACTTCTTTCGTCTTCCTTTTCTTCTTCGTCCTCCACGTCTTTTTGTTCTTCTCCTCTTTCCCCTTCGTCCTCACTTCCACCTTCTCCCTCGTCCCCTCGATCTCCTTTGTTCTTTTCCCTTTTCGCTTCCTCTCCCTTCTCTCTTTCCATTTAATTATTCCGTCTTTTCTTTCCTTCTTCGTCCTGGACTCCTTTTTTCTTCTTCCCCTTGTCCTCCGCCCTCCTCACCTCCACCTTCCCCCTGTCCCCGTATATCCCCTTGCCATCTTCTCCTTCTCCCTTTTTCTCCTCCTCTTCCTTCTCGCTTTTCCATTCCATTCCCCTCCCCACTTCCTTCTTCTCTCCTTTTCTTCTCTTCCTTTCGCCATTTTCGCCATTCCTCATCCTCTTATTCTTCTCATTTTTTATCCTTTTGCTCTTCATCCTTCTTCTCCCTCTCATCCTTCTTTTCTTTTTCTACTATTTATTCCCTTCCGCGTTTTCTCATTCTCTACGTTCCTCTCTTTTTTTCTTGATGTTTTTCACGAGAGAAAATTGCCTATTGCGCGAATTAAATAGTTACTAATTGAACCAGATTCCTTGATATGGATTATACATAATTCGATAACTGAATTACGAAAACTTATAGCAGTACTCTAGAGAGTACTGTTGTAGAGAGTTTTGTTGTAGACAACAAAACGTTCGTAATATCTCTTTCAAAATCACGAGGTTCTGAGTAGTGAACACACGTGTAGTTCAGACACTTTATTGGCCCATGCATCACAAGCTGAATAGTCAAAATAAAAGCCAGTATCCATTTTGTAACATTTCATTCTCGCACTTCTCACCGGCTCGTTCCGGCTTCACAGGCCAAGAAGCTCATCATCGACAAGAACACCATTCTGAGTGACGCCAACTACTACCGTAGCATCGTGACTCAGCTGACGGCCAAGCTGCACCCGAATCTGCTGCAGAGATCTCTGTACCCGTCCTACAGCCATGCGTACGGCTCCTACAACGTCATGGAGGTGAGTGAGTCTTCTGCTGCCCCGCAGTGTGTGTGTGTTCTGGACATCTTGAGGTTGGAGGAAAACTTGAGGTTTAAAAGAGATCACCACATAAAGAAAATAAAATTAAATATTTTGCTTCTCTTAGAATCGGTCTTTAAAAACTTTAATATTTGAAAGACACCTAATGTTAAACGTATGTCCCATCGAGAATTTCTCATATTTATAAACTTCAAATCGTACAAAATATATTCCTAAGAATAGCAACAAAGGCACCCTAATTCATTTTAAACAATCAGCTGCACAAGAGAAAACAGACCCATCAACACAACACATCCTGCATCTTTCAAATAACTTTTATTAAAACATCAACTCAACACATGACGAATATCATTATACCCTAGCTCTCATTAATAATTTCTCTGAAAGAATAAACTAGAGGTGTTAGAACACCTTTTTGCAGTTTTCTAAAATTCAGTTACTTCAACGGTATTCGGTACTTGAGCCATTTTTATAAGCGTTATTCTTTCAGTATATTACTACTACTAAATGCGAGAAAAATTAAAGACAAAGACAATTAAAGACAATTATTTATTGAAAAAATCTTGTTTTTGAAATTTCCTATATTTTACGCGCAGTTTGCGTGAACAACTCATATTTTGAAAAGTGCCATTTGATGATGAAATTTTGTAGAACAGATTTCAATAAGAAAAAAAGTTCTATCTTAAATATTGTAGTTGTAGGAAGATGCTGAACAAAATTTAAACTTTTGAAATATTTGAAAATTCGGAGAATTCAACGCAGATCGGATGTACACCATTTTTATAAGCGTACTCTGCTCTCTCTGAGAAAAAATAAATAAAAAATAAATCGCAGGCATTTTTCAGAAACTTTTGAAACTGTCCATGAGGATTCATATAAATTATACACCCCAATATTAAAATATCTGTTTAAAATTCAAGGAGACCCGAAATTAGTTAGATCGATAGGAGTATATTAATTTTGCAATCCTGGCAGAGGGTTTATCTGCTAGGGTTGATCACAGACGTTATTTTGGGAACCAAATTTTCACCAGTATATTTAAATTAAAAATTGGCCGTTTCTTACTTCAGCATTACAATACTAACTTTATAATATGTAAGTAGTAAACGAAAATGTAAAAATACAGTTCCAATAGAAGCATTCATCAATATTTTTGCAAATAGATATTTATAGTGCCCTATAATTGCAAATGAGTACGCCAAGTTGTAAAAGTAATTTAAGTGTAAGTATAGAATAGTATAGACAATACCCGTTCTTGCTATAGCATTACCATAGCAAATATATAATACGCAAGTAATATGCGAAAAAGTAAAAATAGATTTTCAGTTGATGCATTCATTAACATTTTCAGTAATAGATGTTATCATAGCCCTTGCAAATCAAATTGGCTACGCCAAGTTGTACAAGTATTTCAAGAATAAATGTTGGATAGTATAGGCAGGAAGAGGACAGAATACATATGAAAGAGAAATGTACTGAACTATCAGGAAACTAATGCATTAAAAGGGGTGGTTGCGTTAGCGTGAAGACAAAGCAATTAATTTTTATTCCATTACTTAATGGTTTCAGATTCATTGAAGCGATAATGCAATTGTTATATAATACATTTATCGTCGCAGCAATATAGCAATAATAAGTCAGCTAATTGGGCTACATTAGTTCATACATTTTCATTTTCGCACAATTGCATATTGTAATATTACCGATTTTATCCATTTCCCCTCTGCCATCTCTTTAAAAACTTTCAGCAAAAGAAACGGGATTCGAATTTCAATTTCGAAATTTAATGAAAGAGGTTTTAAAGGAAATCGGACTTATGCATTAATGGAATTCCCTAAGTTTGAGCAAAAAATTGAAGGAAACAATTGATGTAATTTTTGAACAAATTTCAGGAGTGTTCTGTGGGCATCATGTAATGTACTCCAAAATCGTAAAAGCCGTTTCAAATTGGAAGAGCCTCATCTTTGGCCAGATAGATCAGGGAATAACCATTTTGAGGAACATCATACTTACGAAATAGGCGCTAATGTTTATCACGGGGAGACGGAGGGACTGCCAGGTTAAAAAACGCCTTTTCGGTATCGGGGACTCTAAAAGTGTGAATTTCCAACAGAAAATAGTTATCTATATTTTACAACATTACCTAATTTTATACGAAACATATAATTCGTAATATGAGAAAGTAATAATATAAATTATTATTTTGGGAAAGTTGGAATTGTTTGGATTTTTGTGTGTTTAAAGAAACTACAATTTTAACACAAAAATCACATTTTTAAATAAAAAGATGTTAAAATTAAGTGGCGAACGGTGTCGATCTCAGTTTACCGTATGGCGAGAAATGCATTTTATTTCGTGAAATATTGTAATGAAATGTAATATAAGCCTTCGGTGGCTCATTAGTTAGTGCGCTCGCTTTCTTTGCAAATGCCCCGGTATCTATTGCCGTGTGACGATGAGAAAGCCCACCCTAAGGTTATGAAGACCAAAATATATGGTGAAAGAATGTCTTTGTATTAACCACACGAACCTCTGGTCGGCCAAGACCCATGCTGACGAGGCTGACAGGCCAAAGGAAAAAAAAGAACTTAATATAAAATGTCTTGCTTTTATATATTCAAGAAGAATTTAATGTAATATGCTAAACTTTGTTGTTATAGGAAACCGTGAATGGTATTTGTCGTACTCGCTACGACATTTCACCTCTGCCCAAATACAAGCTGCAAGCAAACCCTCAACTGGCACCCTACGCCAACCTCACAGGAAACGCCACTTTCCTCAACATCGTGAAGACCACCAACTACTCCGAGTGCCGTAGCCACGCGGTGTACCACACCGGCGTGGCCGCCAGGGACGAAGCGGACATCGGCGACACCACCGTGGGCTCTGCCATTGCGGTGAGTACTGATGCATTAACATCAATACCCCAAAGTGCCATTGGCGCTTGCAACTAGCTCTTAGACAGACATTTTCCGTTTACGTGTAATACGTACCCATTCACTGTATTATTATTAAATTATCACGTGTTCATAACATTGAGATTAAAATGAATTAAGAATACGATACATTTTAATTAATTGACTTTTAAAATAAAAAGTATCGAATGTTAGGACAAATGAAAATTGCATAAAGAGTATTAAACTATTTGAAGACTGCTCAGAAATTTTTGTTTTGCCTCTGGACAGTAAATGTAGCTTTTCTCTCCCCCTAACAGTCACAAACATTCCTTTACTGTTTTGGAAGTTAAGTAGATGTGTAGAAATGAATGTTTAAGAAGCCCATGTCATATAAAGACATCTACCCCTACTTGCTTAAATGTGTCATAGGCAACGCCATGTGTACATGGGTATAATGGAAAAAAATATTTTAAATGCATTTTACGCATAAGAACATATCATCTACTTTCTCATTATTATTATTTATTGCATAAGATTAAAAACGTATCATTTCGAATTTTACGTTGACTTTATTGTTACAACGAATATATTTCATCTATCAATTATTTTTTCCACTCTTACAGATATTGCAGATTCGATATCAATAGGAAATTAAAGAATGATCTGTATAGATATCGATAGCATTAGTATGTAATGAAATAGCGGAAGCATCGCAACACACATGCTTATACGTTCTATGTGTTTATTCCAGCGCTCCACCGTGTGCCGCATGATTGTCCAGATGCCTCACCCACACAGAGAGCAGTACAACATTTCTTCCTCGGTTTGTAACAGCCAACTGGAAGCTAGTCCTCATCTGTACGACAACCTGAAGAGTAAGGTCAACAGTCGTATGAACGTGACGTTGCATTATGGAATTAAACACCCAGACGGTATCCCACCACCATCCAACGCCATAAATGTTCCAATTAAATACCAAATTGTTCGCGAAAATCAACTTTACAAGGGCAACGATGACAATGATGATGATGATGATGATAATAATGATAGTAATGATGATGATGACAACGACGACAACGATAACAATGATTATAATGAGAACTACCAGGATAAACAAAACAAAAAGAAGTCGCCTAGGCAATGGAATTCAGCCTTTCAAAGCATGCGCTATCGTAGAGCAGCCCAGAACGAAAATGAGAATAGTAGCAGCAGTAGTGACGATAGCAGTTCTTCTGAGAATAACAGCAACAGCAGCAGCAACAGCAGCAGCAGCAGTAGCAGCAGTAGCAGCAGTAGCAGTGACAGCAGTGACAGCAGTGATAGTAGCAACGATGAAAATAGTAGTAGCAGCAGCAGTAGCAGCAGCAGTAGCAGCAGCAGCAGTGAAGAAGAGGCACCGTTTAACCCTCCCCCTCTGAACTTCCCAGCCATCAGCCCCGCTCGCCCGGTGCTCAACAAAGAGCAACAACGACAGATCGCCAGTAATATCTGGCAGTTGGTGTACAGCATTGCAATTGATATAGCCGATAACAAGAATCTTGTCAGCCAGTACACCGCTCAGAAGTTTATCACTCTCACCAATTACGTGAGCAACGCCAATAGTTCGTTACTGCTACAAATCACTGATAAGCTCAACCACAGGATAGGAGCAAATATTTACAACAGACTTGCCTGGTGAGTAGAATTTATTAATATTTATATACTAGGATTATTAATTTGGCAAGGTTGGGCTATTGCCGGTATTCCCATTTTATTATAATCAAAATGTCAAGAAGGGGTATACATTTTAGAGCGATTAAACAATATTATTCCGTGTTACTCGCTATTCGAAATTATTTACAGCTGGATGTAGTACAAAATGCGTGCAAAAACATAATGTTGATACAAAATATGATACTAAAAAATAACTGGTTGATGATAATGGTTGACAAGTAACAAAATACAAATTTCCATAATGTCAGGAAACATGCACATTCTACTTTTTTTCCACATCCAAGATAAAATGCACTAGTATACCACATTCCAACGATACTCATGCTTACTAAAATTTATTCTGTGTACCACTGACATACAAGTACGTATTGATAGTTCATGTATATCGATAGTAACTCGTCTCACCTTACTTTACAAGTACGCAAGCTCATCTCACCCAAATTTTAGTAATTCATATTTTTTATTTTACGTGGATCCGTTTTGAAATTTATTGCAACTTATTTCTTAACATTTTCTCTTGAGATTACGTTACAACTTATTAGTTTCCCTTCGTAAACATTTTGACAGGTTTTCCTCCCAAGCAGTTTCTCATGAAAATGGGTGAAGTTAAAGTGGAGATCGGCGAAGTAATGCAACCATTTTTGGAATACTATACAAGACAATACGTTTCACCACTAGATAAAGACTAGTCAAGAACTATTAAGGCATCCTCGGAAGCAAGGAATGAACTCGAGGGAGGCACATAGCAGCAATGTGACCCAAAGCAACCTTCTTTTAAAATTGTTCTCAATTTATTCGAAAAATACGAGTACAACGCATTCCAAAGATTAAATTCGAGCTGACGTCATTTCAACAAGAAATACATATTATAAATTAGTGCAATTTTTTTAACGAATTTCTGGGGAAGGGTCAAACACGAATTTTATCGTCCTCTATGAAATGGCTTTCTAGGTTTACCAGAATCTAACAGAGTGTTAATGAGTTTGTTCATTGCAGGAAGGCTTTCCGCGACGCAGTGGCGGAAGCTGGTACCCGGCCGGCTCTGCTGACCATCAGGCACATTCTGGAGAAAGGCTACCTCTCTGAGAGCGAACTCGGCCACGTGTTGCGTGCGCTCCCGCGCTCCGCCAAGGCCCCGAGCAAGGACTACATCAACTACTACTTCGTGAGTAGCAGAGCGAGTGCATGCCTCACGACTGTTCAATTTGATTACCAGGAATGAATGTAGATTTGCTTTAGCACGGCTTCGTGAGCTTCCCTTTTGCTTGTAGTGATAGAGTAGAACCGTGGGTGAGTTTCTATTTTGTTAGCAATGCAGAAAAATTAAATCTTCAGTTCGTTTACCGATGCAAATAAGTTTTATACAACTCTGAAACGAAAATATCTAGTTTTTCAAATGTTGCTAATCTCACGTTTTTTAAACGTATTTTTATATATTATTATTATTATTATTTATTTTGTTTGTTTTATTTTTAAATGTTTATTCATCTTTCAACTAAAATGTTGGAAAGGGATTTTGGAGAACAAGAAATCGTGTGAAGATCTTCGATGATGTCACATACGTTTTATACTGTTTTTTACTTCATAAATAAATAAGTAGACAACGGCCTGTGCGACAAATTACCCTCTGGCTACTGGGGGTCAAATACGACGAGTTTCTAGAGGACAGAGACCACTCGCGTCTTCCGTTCCCCAGCCTCTCGTGCCACCTTTGAATCATCGTCCTTCATGGTGGAATCGGCAGCCTATTTTACTGCTTTGCGAGTATAATGGGGTTTTCAGGGTTTTCAGGCCCCGGAGGGGGGCACAGCTTTTCGACATACCGCCCCCTCTTTTAGCGTCGTCATTGGATTTTCCACAACCAAATGCGTTAAAACATCATCCCCCCATTGACCTGGGTGTGACCGCTTAGTCAGTATCTCAAGGGACCACACTTGGAACAGATGACTTCCTTGAGGCAATTTCAGTCTTATAGTCTCTTTCGTCGTTGGAGTTCAAGGGCATATTATACTTCTCATATTATACTTATGAGTTAAAATTTCATTATACTTTTGGACCACCGACATACTAAACAAAGCTCTCCCCAAAACGGGAATTGACTGAACTACGTATTAGTAGTGAGAAATATTACCTTGTCTTTTTATTTTTCAGGAGAAAATCCTCCTGACAATCGAAAACAGCGAAATGTACAAGTCGCAGTACATTCCAGCTGTCCTGTCGTTCGCCGATCTTGTTCGTCAAACATACACCGACAAAGACTACGCCGAGGGCCATTACCCTGTGCACACGTACAAGAAGCTGGATCAGGGCAAGAGCGACGTGACTCAGAGGTATTTGCCGTACCTCTTCAACAAACTGAATAACGCCATCAAGAACAATGACAGCAAGGCGAAGCAGCTCTTCATCCTCGCTATTAGTAAAGTTGCTCATGAAAGCGTCCCCCAAAAATTCCAGCCGTACTTGGGAGGTTACGTTAACAAGACCCGCATCACCATTTTCGATCGTATGGCGATCATGATGGGAATGGTGCAGGTGGCACAGGTTTACCCTAAAGAAACTCTTAAGTTGGTGTACAACGTGTACCAGAACATCGGAGAAGCCTACGAAGTGCGTTGTCTTGCAGTCCTCGCCATCATGAACAGCAACCCGTCCGCCGCGATGCTGCAACGCTTGGCGCGCTCCACCAACTTCGACTCGAGCCCGCAAGTGGTCTCCATGATTCGCAGTGCCATTCAGAGCGCCGCCCAGCTCTCCGACCCCGACGATCAGGAACTGTGAGTTAAAGCGAAGTTTCATTAGTAACTAAAGGCAAAAGCTCATTTAAGTCAGGTCATGCCCTTTTGCGGCCCGCCATTCGAATGCTTTCAGTGTTTTTGGAACGCATATCGTCCAGTTTCCCTTCATGCATGTAGCAAATACTGGGACCCTTGATTTGCTTTTAAACATTACATTGGACTTTCTTCTCCCTGAAATGTCATATACACCTTTTTATACTGATTAGACGTAAAATATACAAATAAATTGGTGTGAGAAATAAATACTCGTTTCCGAAACATGAAAAAATAGGCATCTCGAAATAGAGCACGAAATTTCCCCAAATAAATGCTGATGTAATCCCACTTAACTTCGCCTACAACAAGCAACAAGTAATTTAAGGATAAAACGTTATTTATTTTTAATAAAAAGCAGGAATATCACATGCATACGTGAACTCGGTGCTCACTTAGTCACATGCATGTGTTATATTGAAAGCTTTTATTTCCGATGTTATCAAGTCAACTACAAAAACAACATGAAAATCTTGTCTTGCTATAATCGGAAATAAAAACTTCTCAAGTGCTGGTTTTCTGATTAAAATTCAGATGTGTACTAAGTAGTCAATGTATTTTATTTTATTTTATTTTATTTTATTCGAAACCGCAATCTTCATGTCCATTTATTTTCTTTTTTGCGCTAGTGCCAACAACGCCCAGACTGCTCTCCACTTGCTCAAGCCTCAGCCCATGAGCATCCATTATTCGCGCACCTACTTCAAGGACTATTTCATGGAGATGTTGGGCGATCTTGGATACAGTTATCAAGCCACGCATATCGGCAGTCATGATCACATTATTCCCAAAGTTTTAAACATTCGCATTCAACGCTTCCTGGGAAATATTGAATTGAGGACGAGGAAGGTAAGTTGTCGTTATAGGTTTGATCACTACCATTTCAAAGATTAGATACGGAATTTTACAATATTTCTGCAAAAATATTTCATTGGACAATATGTGCTAATCATCTCATTTGGCTTAATACAAATTGAAAAAAAACATGAAACAAAATTGGCATTGGACTTATGCTCCCATGCAAGGTGTCTTTGTATACGAAGGAATTGTTACGAATTTTTCAATCTACATTATATTACTTGAACATAAGTATAGAAACTGTAGTAAACTGATTGTTCGTACCCTTCGCTTCCACATAGTCTTTAAAGCGACTTCACAGCGAACTTTTCTTTTTAGTACTCTGCTATGGTGTCCAGCATCAACAAACTGATCAATCTGTGGTACGGATGGGATAACACCCTCCCTACGCCTCCTCAACAGCCGATCGTTTTGCCTGATGGCAGCATCAACATGGGACCTCGTGGAAACGAACCACTTCAAGGCCAACTGCGTTTCCGCATTCCGGGTGGCGAGAAGTTCGTCTTCTTCGACAAGAAGAGCATTGCTGCAATTCCCAATTGTAATGCCTTTGTCTTCTCATCATGCCGTTGCTCTTCGGGGTTATTCGGGGCTAACACAGTTTTCCAAAACTCAAGTGCGCGGATTCGATCCCCGCGTGGAATTTTCTAAAAACTGGAAATCCCCAACAAACCATGCCATCCTCTGTGGCATGTAAAAAATACCTCGCAAAAGACGGGCAAAAATATAACATACACTCATTTCTTTGCTCTACTGCTCGTGACATTGTCTGAGAGGTATTTTCTTCCACTCAGACATGAACACTTGGCGAGCATAAGTCGGTATTTCACACATGCACTGGGTTCTAGCCGTTATTGCATTTTATTTACTTTTTAAAATTTGTTTACATAAGCTCTTTCCATAATAGAATAATTCCATTTCCTTTTTTTACATATATACAACAATATACGTTAGGCGTGGAGAAAACAGTAATTTGAAATCTTTTCAATAAATAAAACCATTATACAACACCGACAATGATATTTACATGATATATTAGGCAAAGAAGAGATTTAAAAAAAATTGATATTACACAAATATACAAATGAATGAAACAACATAAATTGAGTCAAACCTACTTGACTGCAGTAAATTCAGAATCTTGATACAGTCTTCCCTTATATGGAATGTATCAAAGGGATACAAGTATTGACCTTTCTCTTGTTACGCTCAAACACTCAAAAAGAAGGTAGAAGTTTCAGTTTTCTTAAACGACGTGGGCATGACTTTGTTGTAAGCCCGTAATCTGGTTTAGAATACTTGCTTGTTCTTACTTCTGTAATTTGGATGTTAGGCAAACAGGGTTGTTGGAAAATCACAATTTCTTTACCAGGTAGCCACATATGTCAAATCCAGTTAGTAGCATATTTACAGTTGACCTAAGTCTGCAAGGAACGTTGAAACCTGAGACTTCTTTTCTAGAATAGTCCCTTAGCAGTTTATTCTACACATCTCTTATTTACCTTTTCCATCATTCACGTTCATGAAAAGTAAGAATAACGGCATTTGACCCCATCTAATTATTATATCACATATTAATAATTTGCATTTACTTTCAGTTCTGGAACATCTGGCGAAGGAACTCAGGAGGGGACAATCTTTCAACTTCACGAAGTTGTACTTTGGACCTCGCATGACTCTTGCGGCCCCTGACGCTACTGGTAACTTGGCGACATTCACCTACAGATCTCCGTATTTGGTACACTTTGCTGGTACATTGAAAGGATACACTATCCCCGATCTCTCCAACGAAGATCAAGTTCAGCGTCATTTGCACAATCAACGTCAGGCCAGCTCTAACTTCCCCAATATCGCACAGCTTCTAGAGAATGTAAAGAGAGTAGAGGCTCAAATGATCCTGGATTATAAGTACGCACGACGAATTTTGACAGCTATTCTTCATGTGTGTTTGGAACGTCTCTAACTGTTATATTTCACAGGGTAGTGTCGGCGAGAAGCGGGCAAATTTTCCTGACCAACAACTTCACTGCAAATTCCACGCGCTACTTGGCTGCTGTGGAGCAAAGCCAAATGATCAGCGGCATTTTTGACACCAATATCACCTATTACTCGCAATATGATGCCCTCAACTTCCGCGGCGTGGACGTGACTCTGAAGCCCGTCAACAAGGAGAAGCAGGTGTTGGCTCAATCGGCTATAGAGCCCTTCATCACCCATCAGGATTCTCTGTCATCCAACCCACCTGCTCTCAGTAAGAACAAGGAGTTTGTGAGCATTCGTAAAGCTCGCCAGGTGAGTTTCTTCCTCACTGTTCAAAAATGAAGATATGAATAATGGTAGTAACACAAATCATAGAAATAATAATTTCTTTCTTCATTGAGACTAACTAATAAATTAGCACTAATAAATAGGATTAAAACTTCACATGATTCCATAATTCATTAAAGAATGTTCAGGATGCATTAAGGCGTTGAAATTAAGAGCCGTTTGCTATAAAACCATATCATTCAACGTGCGAAAATGTTTCAAGAGAATTTCATTTATGGTATTCACAAACTGTTTTCATATGGACATGGTACGGGAGGCCATATATTAGGTGACAATTATTTGTATTTGAACTATATCACTTCATTAAATTATAAAGGAACACCATACTTTAAAAAAATTAAATAAATAATAGCATAATCTGATTTTGATAGCAAACAATGATATTCAGACATCATTGTTTGCTATCAAAATCAGTGGCAATACTGAATCACCACCAATATCATGTATAAAGGAAAATAAAAATATGTTCCACAGATGAAATACAACTTTGGACCTAACAATGCATTTGAGATCAAGGCGGTCACAGAGCAAGAGTTCGTTGACATGGCAATGATGCAGCGTCAATGGAGTGACCGTGACCTATTCTCTGTCATTGCATTCCCCATGGCCGAGCCTACCAGTTTGTACCAGAACTTCAGTATCTGGTATAATCCTCAACTCGTCAAGCAAATGCAATTGTCAGCGGCGTACACCGAACTGTCTGCCTTGAATGAACCTCCGAACGTACACCAGCAACACTCGAGGTTCCGTCGCGCCACCAACGGAGTTCGCAGACCCACAGGTTGGTTCCCCTTTTGATCGCACTTAGAGGTATTTTAGAAATAATTTTTCAAATAAACTAGATGTGCTGCAACAACGAAATTTGTGGTATTAGTAGCGACGGTAACATACGAGTAATATATTGTAGTGAACGGTGTCGATCACAGTTTACCGTACGGCGAGAAATGCATTTTATTTCGTGGAATATTGTAATCAAACTTAATATAGAAAGTCGGGTTCGATTCCCGGCTGGGGAAAAATTGAAACTATGCGCTTTCCTTACAAATGTCCCAGTATCTGTTGCTGTGTGACAATGACAAAGCCCACCATATGGTTATGATGACTAGTGTATACGGTATAAATATATTTTTGTGGTAACCACATGAATCCCTTATCCCATGGCCGAAAGTCTGGGTTCCCGCTGGTCGGCCAAGGCCCCCATCCGACTGTCGAGTCAAAGGACAGGGGCATACTAGATTATTTTCCGAACCTGGGCGAAAATATAGCACACTTGTCCTCAATTGGGTAGGTTTCATGACGAATCTGTTGGTCGACTGTTGCCCTAGGAGATAAAATCGGGAACTCCGTGGTGTTACTTTATTTGGTGTCCCATTCACCCAACCCAAGCTGAATTGAATTGAATTGAATTTGCCTTATTTTACGTGGCGAGACTCGGGCCATCAGGCCCGCTCTTCCGTCTGACCACGCAAATTTCGCTACGCTCCTTTCACCAACTAGGAGAGAAAGGAGGTACTTCTTGGGCGAGAAACAGGCGATTTGAATTTAGCTCAGAGGCGTCATTTAGGCTTAAGGATCTTTTACATTCAAGTAAATTTTTATTGTAGTTTTATTGCCTGAAATAATTCTCCCAGTTTTTGTACGTTCCTAACCTTCCTTAGTTTTATCCTGTACATTATGCAGTAACAAAACGTCTTGAAACACTTCTGATTCCTTATTTCCATCTTCCTCCTGTGCGCATGTTTCATTCGAACCCGTTGCTACGCTGTATTTAACATGGATCACATTAAGTAACGGTGATTTCGCTGTCGAATGTGTTTCAGATGCCTACTCACGAATTCTGCGTCTCGGATTCACCGCAAAAACGCCGGAAGCTCCTTTGTCCTGGCAAGTGAAGATCAATTTGACTCGAAGTGATATCAGGAATAACGACTACTTGAACGTCACTTACAACTTTACGGCCGGATCATTCTCAAGACCCGCTCTCATCGAAAAGATGATTTTTGCCCTCAAGGCTAATTGGTCGTACATGCCGCTTTATTACATCATGGAGACACCGATATACAACCCCAACTCATCTCTTGAAGCAAACATCACTTATCGCAACTATATTAAGAACCAAGAAATGAACATCAAAATCAAGGTAATGCGGGCGCTTGATTCATTAGGTGTTTCAAAAATTGATTAGGTCTTCTTTAGGTTTTAAATGGTGGCAACAATATTTGATTTCATGTTACTTTTGAGTTTATCTCTTTAACTCATAGTATGAATGCCATACGTTATTGATTCTCATCTGTCATCTACTTGTCATCAGTTCATATGTGATCGATTTCACACATTACATCCTTGGGCAATCCTTTTATTTCCTTAAATTATGAATTATTACAATGACAAGTTCTAATATTTGCTCTAACACTCATCACGTCTTCTTTTTATTATAACACTTAAGTGCTTTTCGTATTTACTTCTACATTTGTTTTCCTGTAAAGGGACTTCTCTTCATTTTCCTGAAGTACCACGCCTTGAATCCTTGAAGCCCTATACCACGTGCTGTCTCTTTCACTTACGACCCCATATTCTACGTAAAACTAGTGCAGTCCACAGGAAGAACATTTGTGAGTTCTTCCTCAATTTTAAACTGCTGGTAGAAGCCAATATTTTGCTTTCCCAAACAAATGCTGTTTCCCCTGATTTATTTACCTCATTATTTTTCGTTCTGGCAACACATATTTCATTTAAAAATCAATTCCATTCACTATTATATGGTAAAGGTGGTATTAGAAACCAGAAAACCCAACCAGCTTTATAAAATAGCTTCTCTAAGGTATATTCGCGCAAGACCCGCCTTCCCTTTTTGTTTGTCGAAGTAACGTCCCTTTGGTATTTTTTCTCCAAGAGAACCAGAGTGTTTGTGTGTTATCAACATTTTTACTATACTTCTAATTTGTGTGAAAGGATTTTTCTACAACGATGTAGTTTCGAAGGTTCTGGGCTGCTCGGGCGAGGATGCTTTTTAAGCTGTGCGCCCTCAAATGGCGCTTCAGTTGTGAAGAATGCAACGAAATAGGAAGGAAACGTCGGCAAACCCGTTCACGACGCGGTGTAGACTGCCACGGGCATTCGAATGACTCAAACCGAGGAAGCCCTCGAATTCACAAAGGTGATACGGTTCGTTTTCATTCCAGGGAGTGCAGAACAGAACGCTATCCAGAGTGGAATATCTCCGCAACGATCCTACCGTCAAACAATGCCAACGCGAGATGTTGAACGGCAACACCATGCAATGGGCGTGTTTGAACGTGACCCGCGCCTGGGGACAACTGGACAGCTACCAGTTCAACGTGAGCTACGACTACCTGACGCCGGGCTTCGTCAACTATACGTACTACCTGTACACCAAGCTGAACCGGCTGCTGCAGCCGTACTCGAGCGCCAACGTGCTGTTCCAAGGCCCGCCCAACAAGGCGCAGGTGAACGTCACCTTCAGCCCGTCCCTGCGCGCCGTCTCCGTGCGCGTGCACACGCCGCGCATGGCCGCGCAGTGGCAGAACGTGCGCCTGTCGCCCGCGCTGGGCCTCGCGCTCTCCGCGCACCCGGCGCGCAGCTTCGCGCAGCGCAGCGCCGACGCGCACTTCGTCGGCCAGAACATACGTGAGTGGGCCTTGCCGCCATCACTATAATTTTTTTCTTTTATTTTTTATTTATTTTTTATTTTTATTTATTTATTTTTATTATTTCTTAATTTTTATTTTTATTGATTTTTACGAATTTTTATTTATTTTTAATTGTTTTTATTTATTTGTATTAATTTATTATTAATAAAAACTGTAAAAGTTTACTTTGTAAGAATAGAGGGGGAGGAAGTTGGGGGATTACATCTAATTACGGTAAACTTTCCGTTATTGTTGGCAATGCTGCTGACTGTTTACTTCAGTATCCGTGTTCCAAAAGATGTACAGTGTACTATCTATATGTAGATAAGCGAAAAAAATGGCTTCTTCTTTGGCAATCTAGGGAAGTAAAAAAAATAATAACAAACGTTGTGGTAACAATCTATGTTAAGGAAAATTAATAATATTGAAAAGCACTTTCTGGCGACTTGTACAGACAGTTAATTGATACACCTTTCTTCTCGACTGAATTTCATAGTATAGCTTTTTAAGAAAATGCTACAACTCTATTTTTATTAGAGTTCAAATTCCGTTCCTACATGGGGTAAGATCTTGTGCCCGGTGCAAGGTTCCAAAAATATAGATGAATGATACTTGGATTCCTCGGTAATTAAGACATGCATGATGAATTATTGTTTGATATACGTTATGGTAAATGAATTTCATGTCACATTTACAAGGTGAAAATCGCAACTTCCGCGATATTAAATCCACAATTTCGGAAAACATATACTGCCTTTGCAGACGCCTTTGCTATTCATATCTGCATCATTCAATTAAACAGAACTACTCCAACTTCTCTAAAATATCATTATATTCAATGTCCAACATAGGTCTCCATCATTTTTTCAGTTTCATTGCAACACATGTACTTAAAAAAGGATTATTATGAGCATTTAATTTTAACCCAGGAAATGCTTATGTAATGTTTTTCACAACCAGATGTATATATTACTCTGCCAATATGGGAGTATAGTCGCATCTCAAATAATCCAATTGCTAAAATTGAATATTTTCCCCAGATACTCGCATAGCTCTAACTACGTAACAAGCAATTGCATTCCCAGTCCTTAAAAACTTACTACCAGCTACAATTTATTCACATGAAATGCTTGTCATGATTATGAAGAATCTCTATCACAATTCTTCGACTTCTCATTATATACTGCATTAAATATGCAATTAGAATATTTCTTTAATTTTCGGATCTGAAATTTAAACAATAAGGAACCTCATTTGCGAGGAGTCGTGTGAAGTTTCGGAATACCAAATATCTTATTGAATCCGTAATAATGAAACATTTGAAACCCGAATCGTCTTCAAAACTTGAATGTTATAATTATTTAGTTACGATAGAATGCATAGTGTTTATATCACGTCTAAAATACAGCGCGCCAGGAAAGTCTCTGTGCAGTGGCACGAAAAATGCAACAAAAATTGTTGGTAGCAGCGTGTAACAATAGAAAACGTCAATACCGCAATCACCAAAACCTCTTTCAATTGTTTCCCAGCGCTATGTTTGCTATCAACCTAAATGCAATTATTAGTAGGTGGTCCTGACTCGGCCCAGTGCGGAGAGACTTTCGCGGCGCACTATATAATGGGGTAAAGTGAACGTTTTAATTTTGTCTTCTTTCACTTGCAGCGAAGGCTGTGGTAGATGCCTTGAATATCACCACCTTCGATAACAAGACGTACCCGATTCCATCGACCGGTTTGGGTAGATGCTGGCTTGTGCTCATGACTCGCAAACAATACAGTGCACCTCCCGAATACAACATTACTGTGGCCATTCATGACGATGGGCCTTACAGAGTAAGACATCATCCACGATCTTTTAATATCTTCTGACGTGCGAACGCTTTAGAACTAAGCTAAATTATTGATTTCATTTCCAGCTTGCACGCATTATCACTCGTGACCAAGACATCTGGTTGGTGCCAGGAAGTCAGCCTGTGGACGCCAATAAGTACTCGTTGGCGGTTGCTGATAACACAGTTGGAGTGAAGGTGCGCAATGGAAAATTCTCTGAACAATACGTCCAGACTGTTAATGCCACGAAGTACGTTGTGCAGTCACAGAACGAAGCTACTGTCATCATATATTCACCAAGGAGGAAGTATGTAGAAGTTGGCGCTTTGAATAATACCGTGCGACTTATATATGATGGCAAGAAACGCTTTATGCTGTTTGTGCCCAACTCATTCCGAAATGATATCCGTGGTCTGGCTGGCACACACACAGGAAATCAAATCACTGACTTCTCCGACAAAGACGATCTCGTTGTTCGGAATTCAGCAGATTTCATCTTTTCTCACTTGTATCAACCTGAAGAATGCCAAGCCGTCCACGACGACAACAACCCCCGCTTTCCTAAGGATATCATTCTCGGTTACTCCAATACTTCGCGCAGTAACTCTCTTCACCAGATCAACGACAACAACGACTCCAGTTCTGATTCCAGCTCTAGCTCCGATTCCAGCTCCAGTTCCAACTCGAGCCCCGACTCAGAATCCAGCTCCGACTCCAGCTCTGATTCAAGCTCCAGCTCCAGCTCGGATGATTCTGATGATTCAAACGATAGCAATTCTAACGACAGCTCTGACTCCAACTCGGATTCGAAGTCCGACAGCTCCAGCTCGAATTCCAGTTCCGATTCGGACAATAACGAGAACGCAAATCCCAAACAGAAGAGCTTCAGCTTCAACGGAAAGAGCAAGCATTCGGATTTCAAAAACGCAAACGACGATTATCGATATTCAAAACAATTGAATCAAAATAATAATGCCGATCAAGCAAGTGTGGACCATCATGTACTAGTCCTGGAACTTAATAGCGGAGAACTTTGCTGCTTCAGCTTACGGCCGCAACCGACGTGCAAGTACCCGAAGGTGCCGTTTAACCACGAGAAGAAGGAAGTGAAATTCCACTGCGTCGGGAAGAGTAGATCCTCTGACTACTGGAAGGATCAATTGAGCCGCGGCCACCATGTTGATTTCAGTAAGAAGCCGGTCTCGAAGGTCCTTCAGATCCAAGTGCCTAAAGGTTGCAGGAAGCCAAATCTTTAGTGGTTTTAAACCTGCATGTTTGTAACAGCACAGCTATTGTTGTTAATGATGGTGTATGTATGTAATGTTTTCTTTTAAATAATTCAAATTACCAAATATTTTTTCGGCAATTAAATTACTGATAATGCGATGATACATCTTTTAATTCTCCTTTTATATTCCCAAATACCTTTCATACCCGGTAATCAAGTAACTCTTAATTGGAATAAAGACAATATTACTGCCAAGTTATTTTACATTGTTCCTAATTTAAGTAGCCGTTTCCATTCCACATCATATTTACGTGTTATAATCTTAATACTGAAACATACATTTAATAGTTTAGCTAAACAAAATAACTCTTTTCTTAGAGAGTATTTATATGAATGTTTGAATAATGTAACCAGTGTTTTGCCGAGCGAACTGGCTCTGTGCGTAGCGCGCTCTTCATAATCGGGAGGTCAGGATTCGATCTCTGGGCCGGCTATCCTGACCAAGGTTTTACGTGGTTTCCCTAGGTGATGAAGCAATGGTTCAAAAATGCCACGATCACCTCCCACATCCCCACCTGCCACCTCCCAATATCATTCTAGTTCTTTCACCCCTCATCGTCACCGTATCACATCATTCAGCTCCTGCAAGGACAGGAGGCCCTTGCCTTTAATGGGATCTCAGTTGGCTAATAATAATAATAATAATAATAATAATAATAATAATAATAATATTCTCACAGACCAGACAGCACCTTACAATCTGGCTAATTTGGTTTTTGATGATAAGACAAAGGCAAGCCGACCTGAAGGACATAGCCACACCAAACACGAAAAACCTTAAACAGATGTATGGCGAGAAAATCAGAAAACATGCTCCGTTCGTTGCAAGTATCAAGAGACAGTGGAATATGGTCCAAGTATGGACCATCCCCATTGTTATCTCTAGCATCGCTAGTAATTCCGAAGACCCTGTTTAAAAGTTTACGAGATATGAATATTAATGTGAATATTTATAAGACAATGCAGAAGGATGTGGTATTGTAATCTCAACAACTGTAATAGCTTGAAAGTTTATAGGAGTTAGGTAGATTAAAATTACCAGCAAAAAGACGTTGAGAAATATGCATGGGACATGTACGACCTGTGCATTTGTCCTTATGATAAAATAAAATAAAGGCTAAATATTAAATAATAATAACAATAATAATAATAACCAGTGTTTTAGTTGATATTTAACAGTATACGTTGTGAGGTTCGGAGTAAATACAGTAACAACAAACGTACCGATATGATCGAAATTCTACATTTGATGGGCGAGGTGAGAGGAGGGTTAGAGTTGCTATCAGATAGGAATCACTGTTATAAATTGCTTGGTCATTACTGAATTCTATTATATTTTCCTTTTATTACGCAATTAAGGTTAATCGGTCAAAAAAATGGTCGAAATCAAATTCTCAAATTAGTAATTCATTATAATGAATAACAGAACACCGTGCAATTTCTTTAATAATTAATTTAATATATATTCATTTCAAAATTACATTTATTATCAGTCATAAGTTTTATGACGGATTCGTGGTTCGCGAGAGGATGTTAAGGACCAGGACCGGCGGATGTATCTCCCGCCGAAAATGTATACGAGAAAAAAATTCAAAAAGGATTTTTAAATTTTTACGTTTATCATTAAATTGTCATCACATTTATATTATGTAACTTCGGTTGAGTTCGTTTTTACAAAGCGAAATCGCCATTGCGCTTTAAATTTTTTTGATATAAACTCATTTTACATTTTTTCAAATCGATTTTGTCGAACGTAAAACTATAAACTGGTAAAATCGCAATAGTGTTGAGCCAATCTTGGGGCATTGTTGATCGCATACATGTTTTGAGTCAACGCAATTCCTAGATATGTTCTAATTGATGTATGTATTCGTATTCATTTTATCACTTGTATTTGACTAGTTATTTGGATAACTTTGTTTTTCAAATGGATCTATACACCTTTCTTAGTCTATCATGACGAGCGTAAAAAGGCGAATCTGAATAAATGTGATATATGATGAAACGAAGAACGTTTCTGTATTGTAATAATCAAAGTTGATCAATAATTATAATAAAATAAGTACTGAATTGATCAGAGCGGCAGTAACTGCGCCGCGCCGCTGCCCTAACAACGTCAATCGGGGGGTTGACGGCGAGTGCGAGCGACGGTTGGACAGTGTGCGCAGAGAAGGGCCGTGGAGTGAATCAGACGGACGGGGCAGTGCTGCATCAAACCAAATTATGGTGGTGTTAAGTACATTTGGATTGAATGGTGGATGTTAAGTGAAGAGACCCTAGATTTGATGACAAGTTAATATCAGATGATTAGGTGAAGAGTGGAAGGGCGCACAGAACAAATCAAAAACATTAAATACAGGAATTCGTGTGGCCTGACGGACACGTGTTATATTCTGCCAGGGTGTAATGCAAGCATTGCGGGCCCTACTGTGCAGACATTCGCGCGAGATTGAGGGGGAATTGCTTGAGACCTGGAACTGCTGCGGGCGTCATCGCGCGTCGTTCGTGTTGGGGGCCAGTGAGACATTGTTTGTAAGCCGGCTGGGGGGGTGGGGGGGTGGACTCCGGCAAACTCATCGGCCGTGTGCGTTGGGGCGGTCGTAGTGGGTCGCCGAGGGAGAAGCGAGTTTCCCGACGGACTTCGGGGCGGAACAGAAGGTTGCCGAAGACGCCGCCGCGTATGCCACGCGCGGCCCCCGTTTCGTCTCCAACCAGCAGGTGGTTTCTTAAAAGCATCAAGGTAGCGTTGATTGTGCACTTATTACCAAAGGCCTTGCGCATTGCGCTTTGTAAACTAATCTTTTGTAAAGAGTATTCTATTATTAAAATTTTAAAAGCACAAAGAATTTCTTACGATGATCTTCCAATGCAGCGCCACAATCCCTTGGAAACCAACTGCAGCGAAAATGTAACCCGTCCTTTAGCAATGTAATTTTATTTTGTGTGAGAGTACCGCTTCCCAGGTACGTCACAAATATATATATATATATATATATATATATATATAATATATATATATATATGGTATATATATATATATATATACTATATATTAGTCACATATTAAATAATAACTTTTTGTGTAATTTTGATTCTTTTGCATATATCTTTCAAGTTTCATTAGACATATACCTAGGTAATTTTCACTCTCATTTCTTTTACTTTTTTTAAAAAAATAGATATTATCTCTGATGTTTTCCAGCTATCGGGTATTTTATAATTTCTCCAGAATTCTTTATACAAATGAAGCACTCGAAATTCACATAGTGAGCCAGAGTATTTTAGAAGTTCCACCACAATATTTACTTCTTTCTGTCTAATACGTTTATTGATGGAAAGGGGACCAATCAATATTTAACGCGATGGTTAGAATGGTATTGACTTAATTACTAAAATCATGCTAGAAATTGATTTTAATAATGAAGACCCCATTTTAAATCTTTTTATTGACTAGCTCCTTCTACTCTTCCAGTGTCTCTCCCTCGTTTATAGGCTTTGACTTCCCCATTCAACAAGATGGCGGCCTCCTAGCTGTTTCCAGATCACTTCTTATGTTCTTCTCTTACATATCTTCTGTTATTTTAAGCGTGATCCACGTTCTTTGCCAGTAAGTAATTTTTAAGAATATTTATTTTTTATTTTCCTTTATTTTTCATATTTATCTCGTATTTTTGCTATATTTATTTTTGCTCCTATACACGTTATTTTCTCATTTTTCATTCTCCATATTATAGAAATTGAAGATGGGAAAAATGTTTCCCGAAAGTTGACTTTGGGTATTTTAATAAATACAGCGCGGCAGGAAAATCTCTCCGCAGTAGCACCTTGCTGGTGTGCAACATAACTTATGTTGTTAGCGCGCGTTGTTGCTTTTAACAACAGGAAACGTAAACTATATACTCACCATAACTATTACAGATGCTAGAAGTTCTGTCCCCTTTACTTGCTTCCCACTGATCTGGTTGCTACCAACATACATGCAATTTTTAATAGTATGCCCTGATTTGGCTAAGTGCGGACAGACTTGCCTGGCGCACTGTTTTATAAATGTGATTGTTGTGGTTGATTATTTCCTAACTCACATTATGGATTACCACAAGATATCTGCTACCACCACAGAATGTATTCTACCAAACGTCTCAACTCACTATACACAAAACAGCTTTCTGAGCACTCCTTATATCCATAATATTATATATCAATTCATATAACTTACATAATCAATGTCATAAACTTCGTCGTTCCAACTATTATTCAAAACATACAACAAGTAATTACTTCTTATTTTTGCTCCCCCAATGGCACAAAATATTTCAAATCATAAATTAATCCTAATGAACTGGAACGTATAAGGCATCAATAATAAAAAAAACGAATTTAATTCTTTTCTCCAAAGAATGTTGACATTGCATGCATCCCAGAAACTCATTTAAAACCTCCAGATACTTTCACATTACCAGGTTACTGTACAGTAAGAATGGATAGGGCAAACTCTGCAGGCAACTCTCTACTAGGATCATACTCATAAAAACACTCTCGCCTATATCGAAGAAAAATCAACACATCACATCGAATCAACAGCAGTTTTAATTGCCAACATTAACCTGAATCTTACTATCATTGCTGCTTATAAACCTCTCACCATAAAAACAAATTGAACAGATCTAAAAATTTTACTATCACGTTTACCTTCGGTTGTCACGTAGGTGACCAAATTAATTCAAATTAAATACAACTTAATTGGACCAAAATCAAAAATTTCATTAAAAATCAAATGCAAAATTTTAAAATAATAAAACACTCCAGCCGAGATAGAGCAGACACTAATGATACTAAATAATATATTAGTAAATACAATAGGCAAACTCAACCCTAAACGTCCAGTCACTCTTCAAAAACCATTTCAAACAAATTACCACAAAGCATTAACAACATGTTTGCAAAAAATAAAATAAAACTACATGATTATGGATGACTTATCATCCCTTCGCTTAAATAAGAACTAAACACACTAACCGAGTAAGTACACTACATGATTATGATGTTATGAGTCAGTTGATTATAAAGTATACTCCGGGTTGCAAACAGATTCCTAACGAGCAGATCTATGGACCATCAGTGCCCCTACAATACTTTGCACAAAATGTGGGCTCTTCCAAATAAAGCAATTTCTTGCACTTCCCAGTCTTTTGAAAGACCTGGTAGTTTAACAAGTTCTTAAATAACTTTTGCGGAACACATCCGACCTGAGTGTTATGCCCCACATTCGCCTGATCTCGATTTCATAACTCTGTATTTAAGACGTTTTTCTGTCCCCTTTATTACGCCCCCTTATTTTGATCGCATGGCACAGCAACATCTACAAGTGTATTCTATTTTTCTCCAAATCTCGGATAAGAATATTCGGTTTGTTTGGAGATATCGTGCGAACAGTTTTCATTTTTGGTCGTACAATATTGTATACAGTCCAACAGACGTCACCGGTTTTGGTGAGTGTTCGTAGCACTTGGCGAATGTTTTTGGAACCTCGAGGGCGGTACAGATTTGACAGTGGAGGTAACTACAACCCTTGTGTCTTTTCACGTATTCTGTCTTTGCTAGGTCCCAAACTACCTATTGCAGATATTTTATTCCTGGAGTTCAGAGCGGAATGCAGGGCAAGTCTCTTCTGTAATACTCCCTGCGAATTCCTTCTTTCATTTGGTCGTTCGAGATTGTCTCACATTCTTCAATGCCCAGTTATACCTGGCTCAAGATCTTGAATCAACATCAGAGGGCATATCAACATTAATTGTCACTGACGTCACTTTGTCTCTCTTTAAATTGATTTTTGACCACTTGTCACGAACACATTTCTTGCAGATGGCATTACTAAAGTCATTATCGACAGACATCAATTGCGCGAGAATCGCATTATTCTTAACAAAAACACTTTAAGATCATCCATGTAAAGTAAATGCGATACTGGTTTTTCATCACCATGGAGCTTTGTGCCAAAGTCAGTGTGCGACAACTGTTTAGAACGTGGGAGCAAACTAATGCCAAACAGCAGAGGGGATAACGAATCTCCTTGAAAAATACCCTGAATTAATCTGAATTTTTTTTGTTTTACGGGTTCCTTTCCGCTAGTAAGCTGGTACTGCACGACTTCATACTAGCCTTGGAAAACTCAATTAGGCTCAATAAGATGAAATATATTATTATTATTATTATTATTATTATTATTATTATTATTATTATTATTATTATTATTATTATTATTATTACTATTTTGCTCGCGATTAGGCCAACTAGGACCACGCATGCATGCATCCTGCATTTACCGTGGCTCAGTAACATTATCGCGGTGGCAGGTGCATGTAACTTTAATTGGGGACCGGCATTTAGCCGCGTCCGATTTTTATTCCCCTAGGTTGTTAGCCCTGAGGGCGTGGAAGATGAAATGATGATGGTGATAATGAGGGGTGAAAGGACGACAGTCAACATACACAAATACATTCAAGCCCGTTATTATTATTATTGTTGTTGTTGGTTATTATTATCATCATTATCATCATTATCATCATTATCATCATTATCATCATTATCATCATTATCATCATTATCATTATTATCATTATTATCATTATTATCATTATTATTATTATTATTATTATTATTATTATTATTATTATTATTATTATTATTATTGTTGTCGTTGTTACTACGGTGGCTTGGTGGTCGGGTGGTCGGGCGGCGCGCGCGGCGGCCGGTGCCCCTGGCCGACCCCAGTGCCCCTGGTGGGGTCGCGCTGACTGCGCGCGTCGCTGCGCCTTTTAAGCGCAGAAGCGGCCTCGGCCGGCGCAGAGCCCCGCGCAGCGCCATGGCGCCGCAGATCGTCCGCTTCTGCTTGCTCGGTGAGCTCACGCGACCCCTGCACTCGCCTAATTGCTCGCGTTGGTGGCTTTCGCCTTCCTTTTTTGTTATTTTATTATTTTTTTCATTTGCCTGTTCGAACGATAGCATTTGCCGACTGCAGGACACGGTTATCAGCAGAAACGAGAGTGACACCGACGTGTGCACTGCATGTGAACAATTTATTTTCTCAGCAATCCGTGCCTTGATGAATTTTATTCCTTAAATCCTAGTTGTGAATAAATTGAAGAAAGTAGAAAAAGGAACATGGATTTTGCAAAATTGGTTTTACATAAATAACTTCGAAATGTGAGATACAAGGATAATGTAAAACAGTTCTCTTTTCTATTTATATATAGAAACACTGCTTTCACTCAGTCGAATGACGTGTACTAATGAGAAAGAATGGAGAATTATTCCTAATTAAACGCTAAAACATGAGCAGAAATTATCAGAAACTACAAATTACGCATACATGGACAAATTATTTAAGCAGGCGCGGATCGACGGGGAGGTAAATGAGGGACATCTTCTCCCTAACATTTTTCAGTAACTATTAATTTTAACTAGTCATGATTCTTTCAAGCATAAATATTTTCAGATAATCATTAAAACGAATAAAATCGTATTGCAGCATAAGCTGAGTGTAGCCAGCGACATTATACAAAATACGTAATACGACACATTCAAATAAAACATTTTACATTTCCTCTCCCAAAATTTGTCTTTAGATCCGTCCCTGATTTTAGAATATTTTCCACTAAATTCCCTGGTAAAATAAAAATTTTCTGAAATTCAAATCTGTCTGTGACATATAATCTGCTTTGCTCATTAAGGATATTGATACGTTGTATCAATATAAATCATCACTCGAAAAGTATGCGAAACGAAAAACAAAAACGAAATTTATTTTTTATAATATAATAACTGTAAGATATTATTCTGTATTTGTTTCGAAGCCGTATCTATTATGATTTCATCATTTTTGGAAATTTTTATAGAACGTCGTTACTCTTACATTCATATTCCTTTCTCATTGAATATTTCTCCAAAACTATGGGTAAGATTTTTAAAATCCCATTGTTTGTATTCTACCAATTATTACAAAAAAAGACAGCCAACCCATCCTCTCTAATCATGCGTTAACGGGTGAGTTATCAGACCGCACACAGTGGACAGCATTGGTGTAGTTCGAAAGCCCATACAGTGTTTCCCTACTATCATCCAGCTGTACTAATGCCAAAGGAGAGCAATGTACTACACTTAAGGAATGGCGCGATGTGTGCGTAATCATATACCTCTGACGCATGCTCAAACGCCACTCGGTCGGGCCATGAACAAAGAGAGATTACGTCAGAAGCATGGTGGGTAGAGCATCCCGAAATACCACACCGTGTATAAACAATCATGCTCCATAAGATTTGTAAAGTTGTTAGTGTTTATAACTATGATGTTCGTTTTTAGTTCACTTCTACAAGTTCATGAGATTTCCTTTCATTTTATTACTTCAGCAATTTTACCTTGCAAGCCATAAATGTACACGATTTGTAACCAAACTACAAAAGTGGTATGTTTTTTATTATAGTTATGGCTGTGTATGAGACGTGGCCAAGGATGGCGGCAAGTTCCGTAGTAGATACAGGTAAGTAACTTAAATATCACTAAGTAATGCTGTAATATGAATTACGTATCTATGATTTAATAATTGAAGTTAATGATAGTGTGATTAAACGCGACAATCATTTAAAAATGGAATTTATTTAATTTCACCGATAAATTTAACTGTTTTATTATGATTGTTAAAAAATACGTCACAAAATATTTATGTTCCAAAATAAGTGTTTCATAAAATTTTACTCTCCAAGAAAGAAAATGCTGAAAATCCAATTATGACACCAGTCACGTGTGGACGAAGATAATTTCTCCCTTATGCGAGAAATTACTACACTAGAAAAGGAAATGCAAAAATACCTCCTATAGCGATTTAGTGGGTCTTCGTCAAAATCGCGCTTAGTTTAAACATAAATGAAAGTCCATTTCCTCATAGCTAGCAACTGACAAATACAAAGTGTGTACATGTATGTACAGTTTTCTCAAACATCAACGCACATATTGTATTTGGTAATTACATTCAATGAAGAAAAATATGTGCTGGAAATTTGTCTTCCTTCTATTTCCTGAGAAACCGTCCCAACCTAACACCTGCCTTCACTCCCCTCCTGCGTTCGAAACCCAGCGAGATACTAGAATCTCTCTCTCCCCTGGCGGGCGTCGCGTGCTGCAGGGTGGCAGCCGGGGAAGCTGTACGAGTACGAGGTGCAGGGCTGGGCGTACGCGTCGCTGCCGCAGCTGGGAGACCAGGCGACGGGCGTGGAGGTCCGCGCGCGCCTCTTCGCGCGACGCAGCCACGCCCACGCACCCGGCCGCAGGGAGATCGTCGCTTGGGTGAGCACGTCTCGCTGCTCGCGCTTCACTTCGTACAACGCGTGGTTATTTGCATTTGTATTTAGGCATCAATGCGCGCTAGGATGGTGTAACGGATAGCGAATCGGACTGGTATACCCAACCCGATCCAAGCCGTGGATTTTTAAGTGTGCAAAAATCCTTCGTACGCCTTCCTTCGGAGGGGAAGTAAAGCCGGCTGTCCCATGTCAGTAGATTTACTTGCATGTAAAAGATCCTCAAGCCTAAATGACGCCTCTGAGCTAAATCCTCCTAAGACCTCCTTCCTCTGCTAGTTGGTTAAAGGAGCGTAGTCAGACGGAAGAGCGGGCCTAATGGCCCGAGTCTCGCGAAGACGTAAAATGAAGATTAATTAAATTAAATTAAATCATGTAAAGGTCCGTAAGGTGGCCTCGGCGCCCGTGGTTCCTAATCGCCCCGGTTTCTAAATCCCGGGGTTCTTTATCGGTCACCCATCCAGGAACCCGCGATGTCTCGAATTCGCTTAACCTTCGGGACTTTCACGTAGTAAACGAATTCGACTAGTGACGCCGGTTTCGCGGTCGCGGCCTTTCAGTAGAACCATCCCAGCATTGGCCTGAATGACTGAGGGAAACCACGAAAACCACGAAAACCCCGGTCAGGATGGCCGACCCTGGGCCTCGGTACACACGGTGTAGAGTTACATAAAGCTGTTAAAAATTCTATGTCACAGAAATACTGTTCTAATACCGAAAAAGGTGTTTGTTTCTTCAAACTGTTTGTCTGCTTGTCTACGAATACAACATGAATCAACAATAGCACTTAACTATTCGCAGGATCACAATTTGAAATGTATTTTTTTAATTTTTGGATGTACTTTTCAAGAAATACCTAGAAAATTTTAAATGTTTTCTCAAAAATTTCAATTTCTTTCTTTCGTTATTGCTTTTCTCATATAGAGCAAACTGCGGCTTATAAAGCACCATAACATTACATTGGCAGTATAGCTGTGGAGAAGGCCACAGCAACATGATGAAATGCCGAAATGTTAGCCCAATTGACTGATATGCGGATCATCCCGGATAGCCCATAATGTATTGACTCCGGCCGCGGAAGCCTACGATCGCATATATTACACCATAAGTGTGATTTTCTTCAAATCCATGAAAATTGCAAAAGTTAAATTTTTTACGAGTCTCGTCTCTCTACCATTGTTTATCGAAGCTATAGAGATTCATTTCTCCATGCAAACAAAAAACACAAACCTAGATTTTTAAATCTATCCTAATATACTTTTTCAAAATAGTAGTTTGCAAACAATTTTGAATTATATTGGGTGATGTAAAAAATCCTAAAAATGTATTCTCAAAAATACCCTATTTTCCCTTGAAGATTAGAGGTTAAAAACAATTCATGAGCACAAGTGCCATTACAACATTTTGAAAATTAAAGTGGCATCAAAGATGCTGAAAAGTCGAATCTCCACAGCAGTTTGATAGATGAACGCGGAAACATACAATATTTAGAACAACGTTGGACGCGGAAACATACGGGCTCAAGTTGAAATTGCAGTCCTGGCAATGTTTTTGTGGGGAGAAAACATTTGCAGAGGCTTGTGGTTGAACAATCTCTAAGAGAAGTAATCCATCACTGGGCGCGAAATCTGGCCGTCAAGAGGGCAAATAATTGGGTGTATAATGTCTTGGTGGATGACCTATTTGCTGGCCGGAAGTTGCAAAGGGCTGTAGTAACCAATCTGCTCGCCTCCGGCTTTTGGATGCAAGATTCAAATCTCAATCGTTTCATATGGAGTTTGTGGTGAAAAAAGCGGTTCGCGGTAGCTTTAGTCTGAGGGTGCGGGTCTCCGAACAACCCTTCACTATTTTTTAAATTTATAATTTGGATATCTTCACTAAGAGAAGTTGGCATTTGTGGTTTAGAGGAGGAGGGAGAGTGCTTGTGAGAAGAAGGAGCAAATAATTTTATGAATTAGGGTGGGCGAAAGATATCTTTGGAGAATCAGAGTCTAATGCGTGATGGATAATGTGCATTTTGGCCGAGATTGAATACTGGAGTGTTGGGGCATGCTGGGAGGAGGGAATAATATTTTTCAGAGGTGTGTGAGATGAATTCTGAGAGGAGAGGTATTTAAAGCTCTCGGTGAATTTGTGAATTTGAAATGAATCAGGGGGCTTTCAAGGTGTGTCTTAGATACTTATTTTGGATTGTCTGTAAAACGGATAGATTGGTTGGTGCTATGTTGCGCCATATTGGACATGCGTATGTCATTGTGGGTCTTATTATCATTTTATAGATGAGTAGCTAGACTAGGTAGCTATACTAGCTATACATGAGGCCAGCCCTTTCGCCTGTAAATAAAGTAATGTAATCTACGAAATGTAAATGTAGTATAATCTGCACGTAGTAAGTAGTTAGTGGAAAGCAAACATAATTTAAAGCAAGTTATAAATAGAAAACATCAGAGCTAAAATGGATACAAAAATGTAACAAACTTTTGTTTGAAATAATTTTAAAATTCATAGACGGAGATTGAAAACACAATTTGAATTAAATAAGATAGTATGACCTTTCCATATCTGCGTACTACGCGGCAGCCTGGTATTCACCCCGAGCGAGTGCGATCTATTAATTCACACTAATTTGCTGGTCATCCACGTACATTAGATGACTACATTCTGTTAGTTCGCTTGCTAGGTCATTCACGTAAATTAATCAGAACAGTGGCCCTAACACGGATCCCTGAGGTTCTATTCGGTGGAGAGGTTTTGGATTGGTGTGCAGATCGTCAACTACTACAATTTGTTGCGTATTATAGAGAGAGCTTCCAATTTAAGAGATGGTGGAATCAGAAAAATGTAGATTCTTACATTTCGCAATTAGGATGTCGTCATCTACAGAGTCTAATGATTTACTAAAATGTAAAAGAGTTAATACAGTTTCGAGCCCACCATCTAGCGATTTCTTATGTCTTCAGTAACTTTCCCAAACTCCTGAATAATTAGCTTTCAGCTACACTCAAGTTCCACAAGCTTCCAACGGACGACAGAGTATGGTATGCAACAGATCTCATCTGCCAATTCAAAGTGCATCGCGCATATCAAATCAGCCTGCCATATTAACAACACTATCAATATGCAATTTAAAAGTCAGCCGTGCATATAAGACTATTTCCAAATCCTTCTTTATAGTAAGTCTCCAGTGGCACATCATTAATGGAATACTGCTAATGTATTTTTTTCGACTTAGTGAAAGAGATAACATTGGGCTGGGTCGAGATTCAATTTGTTTATAAAGCATCAGTAAGAGAATACACGAAGATTTTGTTCTAATATCTTACAATCGCCAAATGTGGGGAAACGTAAATAAATTTTCATATCATCATCATAAAGCAAAATAAAACATGTAAGACCCTTGACTGTAGTAACAAACTACAGAGGAGAAGAGGAGAAGATTAGATCCGTAAAGTATCCCTATATTTTTACAAAAATAGGAAAGTAATATTTTAATTTCAATATTTAAATCAAGTTGATAACGTTCATGTATTACAAATACATCAAAATACATCGAGTTCTACCTTTAGTACCTAATAGTGTGGGGCATGTGAAATGGTACGGGTATTTTTCTCAAGGCAAAGATTCTGAAAAAAGGACACTATAGTGATTTTCATTTATTTGCATCTTCAAAGTTCTACAATTTTCATAGGTGATTGCAGTATTGCACGCACTTAACAATTCCTCGCGTTAATTACGGAATACTAAACCGTCAGGCAACGCTCAGAGACTTACTTACTGTAAAGCAGTCTTTTTTGTTTTCGATAAACAAATATACAAGAATGTAAATATTCATGCTGTGGCGAAATATGTACAATTACAGTACATAATTCATTTTACTGTTCCCAATATTATAACATTCTAAAAATTACTGCCAATTGTTTTAACAACTATATTTTGAAATCATGATTAGGTTATGCTGATGTATTCTTCATCACATACCCTTTCAGAACTCACTAAAATTTATTCTGTTCGCTAAATTTTATTTGAAATAAATAAATAAATAAATACATTTGTATTATTTCTCTAATTCACGAGTACAGATGCTAAAACAGCTTCCTAAAGAGGAGATCTAGGGACTCTGGTTGCCTCAACAATAATAATGCATAAAATGTGTGCTGTTCCAAATAAAGCAATTTTTTGCGTTTTCCAGCCTTTTTTCATTACCTGAAAGTTGAACCACGTTTTTACAGTAATTTTGAAGAACAAATCCTAGAGATTCGTTAACTAACGGGATGATCTGTGTTTTAACACAGATTCGGCTGATTTCGATTTCCAAACCTTTGTATTTAAGACGTTTTTCTGTCTTCTTGGTTACGACGTTTTGATCGCATGGCACGTCTACCAGTAAACAATTTTTTGTCTCGAAATCACGAATAACAATATCCGGTTTGTTTGCCGTTATCGTGCGAACAATTAGAATGTTTGGTCATACAATATTGTGCACAGTCGGAAGATGTTACCGGTTTGGTGAGTGCTCGTACCACTTGTCACATGCGTTTGGAACTTCGAGGGCGGTACAGATCTGCCAATAGAGGTAACTACACACCTTGTCGTGTACTTTGAAGTATACAGTCTTTGCTAGAATTGGACAAGCTGAGACAATATGATCAACAGTTTCTACTTGGTCCTGGCAAATTCGGCATTTATCGTCTTGGGGCATTTTGAGAACCGCATTATCATAATGTGTTGTCAGCGCCTGATCTTGGGCAGGTATTACAAGTACTTCCGATACTGACTTCATTCTTCCCCTTTAAAGCCACATAAATGATAGATCTTTATCGATCTACACTGTGTCCATTCTTTTTAAATATTGTCTATGGAGTGGTTTGTCTCTCCACGATTTCTTTAATATTTTTTGTCTCAAATTTCCTGTTTTGTAGCATCAGCATTTCGGGGTTTGTGTTATTCTGTGTGTCTTGCATAGTCTTGTTCGAAATGCTTCTTGCTACACTAACAATGCCTCTGTTTTCATTTGTACGGTCAAATATTTTGACCTGACATCTGTAGTGAGTCATCATCTTGATGGCTCACTACATAATTTCCGATCACGAATAATACATTGTGCCAGGAGGCTTCAATTTGTCTGAGGCCCCTTCCTCCTTCATTACTTGATACAAAGTCTATGTACATTAGCTCGAAGATGAGCGACATGATGTATTGTAAGCAGTTTTATTGTTTTTCGATCCATGTTTTGAATATAATGCTCAGTCTAGTCCACGAGTTCGAAACTGTATTCGGCTGCAGGCACCGCAGAACTATCTATTGGAGATACGAATCTATTGGATATATAATATACTATTGGAGATATACTATACTATTGGAGATACGTATCTATTGAAGATACTCCAGGAATACGAACCGTATTTCTGGAGTTCCGAGCGGACTGCAGAACAAGTCTCACTCTTCTCTAATACTCCCGGAAAATTCTCTCTTTCCTTGTGTCGTTCGAGATGGTCGCACATTCTTCAATGCCCAGATATTTGTAAGTTTTACCTTGCTCCAGATCTTGAATATCAGTGTACATATCAACTTCAATGTTCTCTGACGTCATTTTGCTTATCTTTCAGTTTTATCATCATTATTATTATTATCATTATCATTATTATTCTTATTATTATTATCATTATTATTATTATTATTATTTTGTTTATTCTCAAAGTTTTTGGTTTCATATGGATACCACACAGATACAATATCAGAGCATGGTAACACAGACATATTTAAAATCTACAAAACAAATTAAGGCATTCTAACACATTTTATTATTATTATTATTATTATTATTATTATTATTATTATTATTATTATTATTGGGAACGCACTCCCTAAATTACGCTTCTATACATAAGTATGCCTGGAGATTACCACATTGAAAAACTTCTGTCCTTGGCCTTTCTTTACTGCAAGCCAGTGTGTGACTGCATTAAGCTATTGGCTAGTGTGAACAACGAATTCTGTGGGTGATGTGATATCGGGAAGTGTCGAGAAATATTCCTGTCGTATATATTACTGTTCTGGCATATTACTGTCCTGAACATAATAAAAATTGGACCTCTAGGATGAAGTAAGAACATCGGTATGTGAAAAAAAATATTTTGTGGCCTCATATCAAGAACTATTGAATGGGAGAAAACCAGAACGCTGTAAGTGACATTTTATAAATTCTGACAAATCTGTTTATTTAAGTCAATATTCCTGTAAAGTTTCGGTACTTGTTTTTCATCATTCAAACCACTAAAGTATATTGCCAATGGAATGTAATCTTAAATAAATACGTTTTTCGCAGAATTTGTAAAATGTCACTTATACCGTTGTGATTTTCAGCCATTCAATTAGAGCATTTGCATTTATAAGAGTCCAAGGTTTATAAGGCCCAAGTAACAGGTTTTTGGAGAACAAGGAAAATACACAGTAACGAGCATCTGGAGGTAGAATCAGGATTAACGTTTGGTATCAAGTGCTAGTATTATGAATTTTGGTTTCCATAGAATTTTCTGAAATTTTTAAGCTGGGCTCATGGGGTTGAGTACATGATACGCAAAAATGATTTTGGCTTTTGGACTCAAAACGCTTCAATTTGTTCTCATATCGTTTACAGAGTTCCTGATGAAATAAGGAATATTAATTAAAATTTTACTGTGTCCCTTATACCATTATTATAAATTTTCAAACAACATCAAAAATTTTGCAAACAAAAATTTGGATTATGTATCAATAGCTGGAGTACATGAATCACATAACAATCATATCTGATTTCAGCATTGTCATAAAACATTGTGATACACTAGTATACATACTATTCAGTTTTTCTGTTATTTTTTCGCCTTTTCATTCAGATTTGAATACAATTTTTTCTCTAGATTTTTGATCTTTCCGGTCCACGCACCGACAAGGAACGTTTTTAACATCCCCCTTTTCTTCCCAATCTATTGTGTATTTATATTAAGTACGTAGGGTAGCATTTTTCAACTTTTTCTTGTTTCTGCAAGTTGATTTTGTTGAAAAGACATTGTCAGCCTTAGTGCAGTGTAAATATTATATAAATTCAATAGTTGGAAAAAAAATTAAATTCCCGGATTAAATCCTATAAACTTACTAAGGGGCGGTTGTTTTTTGACTTACTAACTTATTCCCAGAAATCCTCGCGATTAGTCTTAAAACATATATAATTTTTTAAAGTATAAAATATTTTTACACGTAGGCTTCCGCGACTCGAGTTCATGACTTCTAGGCTGTCCGAGTGACGCCGCGTCGTTGGCAGAGAGGGCGACGTTTCCTCTCATATCGCAGGCTTCTTCAGGGTAGTGCTAGACCCGGACAGCCTAGAAGTCGTATAAAATATTTCTTGACTGTAAATTACGTATTTGATTATGAATTTGCTCATACAGTGATGGAATAACAGCGATTAAAGTGAAATTGATTTGTATTTACTCATTTGAGCGCGTAGCGTGACGGTGCGCGTGTGCGCAGGTGGAGGCGGCGCGGGTGGCGGAGCGGCGACGCGCGACGCGGCCCGAGGGAGCGGCCCCGCCCCCCGACGACCGCCTGCGCTTCCGCGCGCTGCCCCTGCAGCCGGGCGCGTGGGCGCTGCGCCTGTCCTCGCACGGGGTGAGGAGGAAGACATCCGACGGCTCCCGGATGCCCGCTGCTTCATCAGCCACTGTCAATTCAATTATCAACCTAGTAGTTAGAGAGGCCGCAATCAAATCTGTACAGAAGTGCATATCGACATAATAATAAACCAACCTACATATCCCACAACGTCTACCAAAATTCACCAAACATACCAGCATCAGCTGAGTGCAAACTGGTCAAAAACACAAATTATTCAAGAATAAAAGAAAAAAATCTTTGAAGCATTTCTAAAAATACTAGCAAATGAGGTTACGTTGCAGAGTATTCAGACATTTGAGTAGCATTCGTTCGCAAGGACCAAGCAAACTTACGTCGACTTGGTACTTTTCGAGTTACGCGCGAATTCAATATGTGCTGCAGTAATCTCTTTTGTCATAGTCTGCAATTGTTTCCCATGACTTGTCGAAACCCGTCATTTATACTTAGCGAATTATATACACGATTTTTTCATGTAATAAAAATAATGTTAATATTTTCTTATTATCAAATAACGCTCGTTGCTTCCAGTATTGACAAGTCAACTCAATATAGTAATAGAGCTAGAGTAGGCATTTCAGAACTCAAGAAAAAGTTCACTAATTGCACTTCTCGTCACAGTACGTAACACGTAGTCAACATTGTAAACACGTAATTTAGACGTTTGAAGTTACCATTTAACCATTAAACGCATTGCAAAAAGGAATTTTAATAAATATTTTAACGTCTGTTATAATGTATATTATATTGTAAGTTTCTTGACCTTCATAAAACAGACTGGTTTTTTATACAACAATTTATTACATGTATTATTTTAACATGAAAGATAATGTAATATAACATGAAATGATTCAGTCACGGCGTAATAAGGGATAACAGCAAAAATCTAAATCTGATTTCCTTTTGCAAATTGATTTTATGACTGGAGAACTAATACTTTCGCGTCATTTTTTTCCAAAAAAACTTACTTTGCTACTTGTATTCATAATTCGACTTGTACGTACATGACGAGTATGTACGAGTATATGAGTTAGGATTGATATCCTGGAACTCACAAAACAGTACACAGGTTGCACTTCTCCCCTCAGTACGTCACATACAGTTTTACACTTTTTTTACATTAAATAAATACATAAATGTACAAGGGACACGACACACTCGTCACGTCTTCCTGAGGAAGGTTGACTCAACTTACGACACGCACAATTTTCAATTATTTTTCTTGAAATTAACAAATGATTTTATAGAATTAGTTTGTATTCATTGCTAAATATGCTTCTTTAATACACTTACAATTTTTCAGGTGGGATCTCTGCTAGTGAACGAAAGTTTGGCACCGAGTGAAGTGAACTTCATCAAAGCATTGGCCAGCCGTCTCGTCGTGAACACAGGCGGAACGAAACCGGAGGATGACCGCTCGGATATACACTTCACCGTCATGGAGGTGTGCTTTAGACCAAATTAGGATGTTATGATTTCCGTTTTCTCGAGGGTGGTGAACGCTTATTTTAATGAATTACTTGAAATATGTAATTCATATTGATTGCCTTGATAAAGGTCCAAGAATAGAGCTGAGACGTTGGACGTAATAACATAAAATAAAGTAAAAGCCGTAACAAGATAAATAAAAATAAATTATTTTGCCATGCGCAAAAAATGTGTGAATAATTATTTCTGTTATAGCCGAGAAGCCAAATCGAAATAATTTTGATCTTGCCGCCTCACTTGTGTAGCAGCTCGATCTAGCTTTCCGTCCAATTGGCCTTTATCCTTAGGGTAAATTCTGATAAGGTCTTTGCTTTACTTTGTGACAGAAAAGTAGCCTCACGCCTACACAGGTTTTGTTGAGTTTCCTCTTTAATATTTGCTGAAGAAGTAAGGCGAGGGCCATATTTAATCAGCAAAACTATTAAATGAAATCAAAATTTGTAGCTTAATTACCGCTCTAAATACGATTCATATACCATGTGAGCAAATATAACGAAGCTAAATACACTCATTGGTACCTTTATTGATATCTAAACTATGTATAGTTAAAGAGGAGCAAGAGGGTGGGTAATGAAAACGTGCGCAGAGAACAGTCCTCGGCAATTCGTCGCATAGTTTGTACTCCTTCTTGGAGATGAAGGAATTAAAAGCGGAATAGAGCAGCCTTGGCTTGGTTCTCGCAGGAGAGCGTGACGGGGCGCCTGCATGCTACGGAGTACGCGGTGGGGCGCTGGACGATGGCGTGTGGGCCGCCTCCCGGCCCCGTCCCGCTGGTCCGCTCTTCCCGTGTCCCCGCTTCCGTCCCGCTCTACAGCCACCACGTCGTCCTGCTGCGCGTCGCGAAGAGCAGGGACTACGAGCGCTGCGAGCGCCGCCCCGGATTCCGCCGCCCCTCCGCCCTCACCAACGCCCCCGCGGTACGTACACTGTCACACGAGTCTGCATTTCTTTCGTGTAAATGAACATTAATATAATTATCAGGCACGCACATTAAATTTAATGTACACATGTACATTGCGGAGCAAAAGTCAACGCTTTATGGTCATATCTGGAAATAAATGATTAAATCAATGAATAAATTATATATATTATTTAACAGGAGAATATACTGTGCATAAAAAAAGAAAAATACTATTGGTTTAATAATGATGCTTTATGTCTTACTTACCATTTTAAAAATTGGTTCGTATAATTAACAGATTAAATGTTCTTATAACAAGTATTGTAGCTTTGCTTCTGGCACAATGACCCGCATCCCGATCATCTTTCGTGTACTTTCCATCATCCTTTGACAAAGTGCTGAGATGACACCTTGTTTTGCTTCTGGGCGTGAACGTTTCATCACTATCTGTGTAGCTTTTCTTGAGCCTATGAGGTATGTAGATATTCAAATAATTGTTCTCCATTTTCTCGCTACAAAAAGTCGATTTCTTCAGAAAACTAGAGATAATAGCCGAAACAGTACCTGATTTGCCTTTGCAAATATTTTTTTTATTTCCCGGGATCGAATATTTATAGCAATTCGTGGCAAAAGCACTCGTTGATCAATCTATTCATATTGCATCTTAATGTGACTCAGTCCGAAAAGTGATTCTAAAGCTCAAGAAATGCACTTCTCCCCTAGTACGTCACACAGTTATAAGTTTTTGACCTAAAACAAATAAATAAAAATAAATCTGCAGTACACAATGAATGAACGAATTCTCAATGTTGTTTTTAAATTTGTTTACATAGTGTCGCCTTGAAAAATTGTGTTAAACAATACATATTTGTGAAGTATGACAGTTTGCAGCGTTCAACTAACTGAATACATGCAATGAAGTTTATGATACAAAAATTATCTCATATTTCTCTAGAAGCTGCCATTTTGTGTATCCAAAGCTACTTTAAAAAATATGAAAAAAACTTTGGAAATGTATAGAGAATGTGGAAACTCACATTCAATTTCAAAACAAAAATGAATTTAAAAAAATGTATATCTATATGTTACGACGGTAGCGAGAGAAAAAAGAGAATAAAATAAATGCATTTTAACGGGTTTCAACGGTGTGTTTGGAGGGAGGGATTTTTCCGTGATCAATCACCACGTTTCAAAATATAACCCCCTTTTGGAAAAACGTTTGTTCTATTGGATTGTCGTGTAATACACTTCATCTATAACCTACCACATTAACAACCTTCTGTAACATTCTATAGTTCAAGGACATATTATCTAAGCCTACACGGTAGTATCTGGAAAAGTGCTAAAATAATCTCGATATATATCAAGAATGCAAGGAGAGTGATTATTCCCTTTTTGTGTGTTGTGTGTTCGTTACTTTATCGTCATAGGCATTTTGATTTCTTGAAGAAATAAACGACGTCATCTCCGTCAACTTCATATGTGTATTTAGAGAGCCAGCCTTCACCGCCTTTGCCGTCAAAAGAAACATTCAGTTTGACGATGATGATGTCTTTTATTTCTTCATGTAATTACGTGAGCAGTACCACATCAGAATTCCCACAATTTTGAGTTTTGTTTATTCACATATTTCCTGTCATTAATTGTAAGATTCTTTTGTTTTGCAGTCTCTTTCAACTGAAGAAGTGATAATTCGAGGAAGTCTGTCAGAATATATCGTCCATTCATCCACAATAACAGACAAAATCGTCATGGAACAATCTTCATTTGGGCAGCCACAAGGTCTGATAGAGAGTCATCTCGGTATCAAACTGATTCGTTTAAAGGAAAGCCACAAACCCGCCGCACTTCTCGGTACTCTGCGCCATGTCGATCTGGTGTACCACGAAGAAGATCCTTTTCTACCAGAGAATTTCCGCATTTCCAAAAGAGAAACTTCGGGAACTCCTGATCATGAGGGATCAAAGGCTGAAGACATCAATGACGACATTCATTACGTCCATAAAAGAGGAAAAGCTCTTGTGGAACTTGAAGATGTTGCTGCACAAAATGCAGAAAATAAAAATAAATCGGTTACATCCAGCAAGTTTCATCCTCTATTCAATTCTAGTCGCCCAACAGGACCGGTAATATTGCCACTAGTACATTCTCTTCAATTAATTGACCAACTTTCCTCCAATGATTCTTCTTTTGCTTTTCCTTTGGAACTTCCCCCAAATATTCCTATCCGACCTTTCTTTCGAGGAAACAGCACAATAAAATTAAGCGACACAGAGAGAAATGCATTTGCTCGAAATCTGGTTCAGAAAATTAGCTCTGCTTTGCAAGACCCTAATCAAATGCCTGATGTGCATACCCTGAGTTCTTTTTCTATCCTCGTGGAGATACTAAGGACGTTCAGCTACAATCAACTGAAAAATCTCACTACAAACTATGAAGCAGCACGATCTTCTCAAAATGCAGTTTCTGAAGAAGATGAATATAAATGGTAAGAAACAAACGTGAGCTTTTCTGATTATTTTGCCTTCATGATGTACATGAACGTTTCTACATTTTAGATCGTAACTATTTTAGGCACCTTTAATTGTACATACAAACATATCAGTTAAAATTTTTGAAGAAACCTGTGGTTAAAATGTGCGTAGATTGCAATAAATAGAATTATTTTTTCACTATTTAACTGCATGCCAGCAGATAACGTGACAAAAGTCATGGGATACCTCTTATCATCGATCACGGATTTCCTTTTTGCTTAGCGAAGTGCAGCAACTCGATGTGGCAAAGTCTCAACAAGCCATTGAAATTTCCTGCAGAAATATCAAACCACGCTGCCTCTATAGCCTACTACAATTGCGAAAGTCCTGCCTGTGCAGAATATTGTGCCCGAATTATCCCCTCGATTATGTGCCATAAATGTTTGATAGGATTCATGTCGGGCGATCTAGGTGGCCAAAACATTCGCTAGATTTGTCCAATCGCGAACAATTATGACATGGCTCATTGGCATGCATAAAAATTCCATTGTTGTTTGGAAACGAACTCCTTGAATGGCTGCACAAGGTAGATGAACATAAACATTTCCAGTCAATGATCGCTTGAGATGGATTAGAGGATCCAGTTTATTCTATGTAAAAACACCCTTCACCATCATCGTATCACCACCAGCTGGCACAGTTCCTTGTAGACAATTTGGGTCCATGGCTTCGTAGGGTCAGTGCAACATTCCAAACTCATCTCTTACCAAGTGAAATTGGTACTCGTCTAACCATGTAACGATTTTCCAGTCATCTAGGGTCCAATGGATATGGACACTACCCCAGGACAGGCGTCACAGGTCATATCGTGCTGTTAGCAAAGGCACTCGAGTAGATCTTCCGCTGCCATTTCCCATTGCAACCAAATTTCGTCGCACTTTCGTAAAGGGTCCGATCGTCGTGTGTCCCACTTTGATTTCTGCGGTTATTTCACGCAGTGTTGCTTGTCTGTTATTACTTACTACGCAGACGCCGCGGCTCTCGGTATTAAGTGAAGGCCGTCGGTCACTCCGTTGTCCGTGGTGAGAGGTTATGCCCGAATGTCCCAGGTGTCTATATCCAACAAACATTCCTCGTTCAAAGTCTAACTCCCGTCGTGAGACATAATGACGTCAGAAACCATTTCGTGTGAATCACACGAATGCAAATGAAAGCTCTACCAATGTTCTGCCCTTTTACACCTTTTGTACGTTACCAATGCCATCTATATCTGTGTGCAATATTACTGCCTTTTCGATGAGTGTCATTTTTTTATTGCTATTCCATGACTTTGATCATCTCAGTGAAGAGTAAAACTTCCATTATACAAGATAATAACAGGGTATGGAACGCACGGAACAGCCCAGATAATCGAACTCATATTAATTGTAAAAAGTGAATTAATTAAAAATTATTTAAGAAATGTGCATAATAATAATAATAATAATAATAATAATAATAATTTATCTATTACGTAATAATTTAGTGAAATTACGTAATAATTTAGAGCGTGGGCATTGTTTGTTTTTGAGTTTCAAAATAATCTTGTGGAATCAACATCTTCAAAATGATAACCCCAAATAATATTATTCACTTTTGGAAGGAGGTAGAAGTAACCGAGTGCTATGTCTGGAGAAAACGAAATGGTGACATGATGTGATTTTGATCTGAAACACCTCCGTAATGAAGGCGATGAATCAATGCGCAATATGTTTCATAATTTAGGAGGCCCACATTAACAATTCGGATAATTAAAGTTGCGATCTCTCATTTAGAAACATGTTGTTTCAACCCATAATTTATATTACCACAATAAAAATCCATTTACTCGTTGTTGGCTGGTAACCTAACAAACTCAGTACCCTAACAAACGGGTCATGGGCCGCGCGCGCTTTCCTTCCTCTTCTTTGTACTATCCTCATCCCTTACACGCACGTACACACCTACACTTATTACTCGCGCAAGTTTTCTTGATACACGAGCTCCCTAGTCCTCATCCAGGGCTGAATAGCATGGCACGAAGAGATACTTAGGTTTAACTCGGAACGGCCCGTACCAATTTACAATGCTGGCAACAACCACCTCGTACTTTCAAAACAATCGTAGCATTTCTCGTGGCATGCTTTGGCGAATTACGTTCATGCCCATAGTTGGTAAGCCCTTTTCAGCCGTGACGTAGCCAAATCTCTCCTCTCCCTGCACCCCCCGCTATGGAATATCAAGAAAACTTGCGCGTATAGTACATGCACTTCACTGCCACTCATACCGGGAGCTTTGAGTGTAGGGCGTAACACTCCCACCCGGCTGTAGCGGTGTCCGCGAGAGGGTGATAACTGGTAAGGGAAAACCGCTCCAACCGACGGGTAGGTTGGCGTCGGATCTCGCTATCCAGCTGGGATCGCTATCCATCACCACCTCCCGCGGTAAGAACATGCTCTACATTTACTTGACAAACTGCCTTGGCAGTTGACTCACCCGGAATTACTAATAAATCAATCATTTATTTTTTGAGAACTATGTGTTTAAAGGTTTGCGTGGGCCGCACAGACAGACGTATTCTTGTAACATTAATTTATTTTATAATTGTGCAACAGTTTCGAGGATTGTTATCCCCATGTTCAGACAGTCACATGATAGCTCACAAGAGAGATGCCTTTTTGTAAAGCGCGCAAGTGTGTGCTAGCGTGTACTAGCATGTGGGATCTGTGCTAGCGCGTGTGCACAGATGTGTGAACTGTGCTAGCGCGTGGGAGATTGCGAATATATGTGAGAGGTGCTAGTGTGTGGGAGCGTGTGTGAGCATGAGGGAGCAGTGCTAGTGCGCTGGGGAGCTGTGCCAGCTGTTGAGCTGGCCAGCGCGGGGAGCGTTTAGGAGGCTGTGCCAGCGCGTGGGAGGAGGGAGAGCTATATTAGCGCTGTGGGGCGTGTGCGAGCATGTGTGAGCTGTGCCAGGCCTGTACCGTGGAGCGGTGACTGTGCTAGCGCGTGAGCCGTGTGGGAGCGTGTGAAGCGTGTGAGGAGGTGGTGTGACTGTGGCTAGCGCGTGGAGCGTTGCGAGCATGTGTAGCTTTGCGAGGGCGCGGGAGCGTTTAGGAGCTGTGCCAGGCGCGTGGGAGGAGGGAGAGCTATTTAGCGCGGTGGGCGTGTGCAGCTGTGTTGAGCTGGTGCCAGCGCGTGGGAGCCTGTGTGAGCTGTGCTAGCGCGTGGGAGCGTGTGGGAGCGTGTGGAAGCGTGTGGGCGAGCGTGGAGAGCTGCGCTAGCGCGTGGGAGCGTGTGGGAGCTGCGCTAGCACGTGGGAGCTGTGCTAGCGCGAAAGAGCGAGTAAGAGCTGTGCTAGCGCGTGAGCGTGGGGGATCGTTGCCAGCGCGTGTGGAGCTGCGCTAGCGCGTGGGCTTAGGGGCATGTGGGAGCAGGACGCCGTGTGCGGCTTGCAGGTGCGCTGGCGCGACGCCGGGGGCGCGCGGCAGCGGGCCGGCGCTGCTGCTGCTGGCCGCGTGGGCGCGCCGGGAGGCTGCTGCCGCCGGCCGAGGCCGCCCCGCTCGTGTCCGCCGCTCCCTCCGCGGCGCTGCGCCCGACCCGCCTACGCCCACCGCCTCTTTGTACGCACGGCCGCGCCCGCAGCTCTGCCTACGCATGCCCATCGGCAACAGAACATCCATGTTTCCACACATCGATGGCCAAATTTTAAAAATCGATGTACTTCGGTCCCAAGCCAAGGATGCCTTTAAACATCCATGTTTGTAAAACTAGTTTAGTAACATCGCAGTTCACATGCTGGGGAGACGATTTCATGTCTCGGTAGTCGTGATTATTAACTTATCATTGACGTTTAACTGACAAAAATGTCAATAAATTGCAGAACAATTTACAAATGTTAACTATTTTATAATACAAATAATGTGAAACATAGAGATATGATATAATATGATAATACAAATATAATGTATATTTATTAACAGAAAATTGACTAGCATATTTTTAACTCTTCATGATATCGATCTGATGAATTTAAAATTATTGTTGATATTTTGTTAAGTTCTTAATTCAAACATAAAATATCAAAAAGTAATAATATCCATTTCAAAAACGCGATATTAAAAATACCGCCTTCGGTATATCTATGTAATATACATCGATATTTGTTTAAAAATATGGATGTTTTGAGCACGCCGATATCGATGTCACAGTTCTATTTCATTCCATTGGTCCAAGGCAACAGTTGTAAATATCTAATCGTGTCTTATTTAGAAAAATATCTAGCCTTAAATCAGAAAAATAGCTATCTCTCTCTACTCCAGTGTCAATGTTATTTTATGACTAATTTGTACTGTTTTATTAATTTATTTACAAACACCCTATTTGGTTCAGTAGAGGCCACTTGAAAATTGCAAAAGTTTGCTAATAGGTCAATACTTGTCACAGTGACGGCGACATCACAGACAAAAAAAAAGTTATTGAGACTGTAGGTCCAAAAAAGTACTACTTCATGTAACATTGCAATGGCAATATTATTATGATGTTTTCAACTTGAACCTTCAATAACAAAAGGAAGCAACACACATTCATCATCTTCGCAATATTCGGCATAAGCTCCAGGTTGTGCAACAGGCTCCCACCACTCCGTAGCGACTGACGGCGCTACTTCCTTAACTTGGCTGCCCTCACTTACACTACACTACCACACATGTGCGAAGACCTGTCGGGAGCCTAGAGCTTGTCTCGGCTGGGGCACTCCCCCACTAGTGTGAGATACATTACAGGGGAATACCCAGCAGGCCGACGTGTAGGTCGGCATAAGATCTCGCAATACAGCTGGGGAAGACCACCGCCACCTCACGTGATAAAAATACTATGCTTACGGGAACACGAAATAATTCAGGGGCAGGGTTTTCGATACTAGCTAGTCAGCTAGATTGAATTCAGTCGCTGTCTGGAGGAGAAGCGGCCGGCTGCTCTGATCGGTAGTTTTCCGTGGATTCACCGATCAATACCAGGATAATGCCGGAGCAGTAGCCTAACAAACGGGCCACGGACCGCACGCGATCTTTGCTTTCTTTTCTTTACCCCATTCTTACGCTCATGCACACACACATACTAACACACATACCGGCAGACCAATCGGGAGCTAGCCTTGTCCCTTGACGGTGCCCCGCCGGTGGGAGATACCTGATTGGGAAAAACCCGGTTAGCAGACAGTAGGTCGGCCCGGATCTCACCATCCAGCAGGGAAAGATCATCATCTCCCGCGATCAAAACATGCGTTGCACTTCCGGCACTAATGAGTTTGGCAGTTGACGCGCCCGGAATCACTAATCAATCATTCCACGAAATACTTAACCAATCAATTTTCTCAAGCGTTTGTTGCGTGCGCAGGAGCTGGTGCTGGCGTGGGAGCGCGCGGCGGAGGGCGGGGCGGTGCACCGCGCGGCGACGCTGGCGCTGGCCGAGCTGGTGCCCGCGGCGCGGCGCGCCCGCGGCACGGCCGCCTCCTACCTGCTGGCCGCCTACGTGCCGCACCTGCACCGGCAGCTGCGACTGGCCGCCGAGCGCCGCGACGCCGTCGCCGTGCAGCTGTACGTGCGCGCCCTGGGCACCGCCGCCACGCCCCTCGCGCTCGCCGCCTTCCAGCCCTACCTCGAGGTGCGCGGCTTCCGCTGTGGCTCGCTGCCGCTCAGACCGGGCGCGCCTCGCGTTGCTCCTTCCGCATTTTGCTTTCTCGCTGCCGTCCTGACCTGCAGTCTGCCTGTCCCGCGTTCCTATTCCGCGGTCTTCGTGTCTCGCCTTCTTCCTTGCCCGCGGTCATTCCTTTCCACGGTCAGCCTTTTCTTGTATTTGTTCTTTACGTCTTCATTCATCCCTCCTTTCCTTTCTTCTATGCTAAACTTTTTCCATTCCTTCTTTTGCTGTGATTGACTTTTATTAGTTTTAATCTTCCTTTCCTCAGTTAATTACTTCATTCTCATTCCCCCTGTTCAATTTCTTTTTTATGTATATATCTATGTTCTTTTCTTTCAGGCTCTTTTTTCTTAAATGTATTGTTGTAATTTTAGTTGTAGGAATTTTACTTTTACTCGGCTGAACGGTTTAGGTGCTAGAATTGACCACAGACCACGAACAGGCGTTTTGCCGGTAATCGATTTTTCGATATCACGGTCGCACAAAACATGGATTCTGGCTACCGCAATTGTTAGAGGATTTTTGTCTATTTCGCAGTAGGATATATTCACTTTTTTGTACTGAGGACACGGGCAATGAGAGTTTTTTTGCGGAAATTTCTCCGTTTTCCAACGAATGATTACATGACTTACGCTGTTTACGACATACCGTCGTAAGGACGAAAAAGTAAAAAAAAATGTGATGTAGCAAGGAAAGAAGAAATTTACAGTAGTTATGTCTGTCATTAGGAACAATGGACCAGATCTGATGATATTTAAATATAATTGAGGTCAAATCTACAATTAAATAATTTTTAAAAAAAAGAAAGTATCATGGAGTTCTTTCAAGATATAGGGGCAATTGACTGGAGGCTGTCTGGAGAAGGAGAACTATTGTGGTCAGTTGTTCTGATCGGTAGCTTTCCGTTCTTTGTGCAATCAATAGCAGGCGAATGTCGGAGCAGTACCCTAACAAGCGCGCCACAGAACGAACGTAACCTTTTCTTCCTCTCCTTGACCTAACCTCACCCTACTTACATGCATTACGATACCACACATGTAGGAAGGCCTGTCGGGAGCTTAGAGAAAAACTGTTTCAAGTAGACGTGTAGGTCGGCGCTGGACCTCATCATTCAGCTTGCGGAGAAGGACACGCCCACCTGAAAAACAGCGGGCACTTAACGTACGGGAGGAATGACCAAAGCAAATGCGTCGGGGAGCCAGAATTAATCTATCAATCATTAAAAGTCCTCCTCAATAATGGGCCCTATTCCTTTTATGCAGATTTCCACACAGATCTGATTCCTTTAGTAGGCTGGTATTCTCTTGTGGGAGGTGGGGCTAGGACGGCTTTCCCTCTCTCTCTTAAGCCGCCGCTGTTCATGAATAAGAAACAGGCGAGAATGATAAGAATTGGAGTGTTAATGAGCGAAGGAGCCAGTTACGTGTTTGGGATGTTGGGAGAGGTATAGAAGGGTTGAGAGGGATTCTCATTTATTTTCTAATTCTGAGCCTCCCTTCTGGAGGCCCAGGATGGCAGCAGACTGTAAAATGGGTATGCTTCAAATTAAGCCGACGACGCCTTCATTAACATGTAGCGAGTTGTAGAAATACATTTGTACAGGGATCGTGCTATTTGGGCAGGAAAGTAATGCCTAGAAATATGGATATAAAGACTATGACTGTTTTCTGACATGGGTATCATTCATTAGAGATGTAGAAGATTATAGAATGGCGCATCTTTTAATACTGTAACCAATATGCTCTGAGGTTGTATATTACGTGCCATGCAACCTCAATAAATGGGTAGGCCTATTAAAAAGGTAATCAGGCCGGACATTTAGTTATATCTAGAGTATTTTTTCAATTTCTTCGATAATACTTTTCCAGCACAAACAAAAAATTCTAAAAAAGCTGTCAATTTCCTATAAAAATTAAATACCTCCTGATATATACGAGGATTATATGATAAATATTGAGCCTATATATGAATGCTAATCAAGTACTTTTTCTCTAAGAAGATCACGCCTTAATTAAATTAACTTAGAAATAGAATCTAGGTTGTTTTCCGCAATTCGCACACATAGAAATCCAACGCATCGGAACTCGAGGTGTAAGAACTAGCGCATCCCGCATTGGGAACACGGTTTGTTTCCCATCCCATCCAAGGGTAATTTGTGTTGAACATAGGGAGTTCTCAGCAGGTTTTCTCGGAATTCTCCCACTTCTCGTACCACTCATTATATTTTTTCCGAATATCATATCATTAGCATCATATCATATCAATCATTATAACAAAATTGCTGTCATCAATTCATAGGTTTAGTAGTCAGGGGAGACAATGACCGCAGCAGTTAAATCGATACTAAACTTTAATAAATACATATTTTACGTAACTGTTTGATTTTCCCCATTTTACCCGAACGCAAAACAGACGATCCATTGTGTCATTTTTCAGCCAAACATTCATTATATGTGCAATGTTTTCTATAGTTCAGTGAGTAATATAGTTATTCACGTTAATGTACTCCGTGTTCTCACGTCAGTACGTCGATCCCATGACGAAGAGCACGATGAGGGATAATATCCTAAATCTGTAGCTTTTTTCTATTGCATTTTTTACTACTCGAAAGGTAATATTTTCTTATCGATTATTGCCAAAACGCTCGTCCCACCTGTATTCAAAAGTCAACTGTATATGAGTTAGGGTAGAGATCTCAGAATTTAAGAAAACGTGCACAGAATACAATTCTCCCTATAATACATCACATATAGTTTTTTACGTTACGGCCTTTTTACGTTAAATAAATAAAAAGTTCGTCTGTCGTGAACCTGAGCGATTTCACGCAGTTTAGAATTCCTGAGAAATGGTTCGATTGCGCGGCCGACTTTTGAATGATCTAGGCCATCCGGGACGAGCCGCGTCTGTGTCGTGGTGGTTGACGCTTCGGCCAGTTGATTAGGAATTCTACGCGCGTTAAGTGCTATGGTCATTAGTATCGTAAGTATAATGCATGATTTTGAGGTGGCGTGGATCTTTCCCAGCTGGACGTCGCGAACAGGCAACGATCTACCGTCGGCTAGCGGAGTTTTCCCTAACGAGGTATCTCCCACCAGCGGAGCACTTCTCCGGTCGGGACAAGCTGTAAGTTCCTGATCGGTCTCCCGACATATGTGGTAGTGTAGTCCATGTCGGTGTATGTGAGGGGTGAGGATAGGACAAAGATCGCGCAGTGCATGGCCCGTTTGTTAGGATACTTCTATTGATCAAAGAAACCACGTAAAACTACCGACCAGAGCAGACAGTCGCAAGACGTCTCCTACAGACAGTCACCTAACTATGTAGATAAGTGTAGAAAAATCCTGCCACCTTCGGGACTCGAACCGACGACCTCCCGGCCAGAGTCAATGCGGTGACTGCAGTTGATGCCCTGAGCCATTTCTCCCGGTTATTCGAGTATCTGGTCGGGGAGAATACCACTAGCGGACGGTAGGTCGGCGCCGGGTCTCACCATCCAACTGGGCCAGATCACCGCCACCTCTCTAGCAAAAAACATGTAGTACACCAACAAATCAGACAAGCCTTCAACAGCCAACAGAACAGAACAAACAGACCGTCGCAGTTGACACACTAGTAATCAACCAACCAATGATAGAGAGAAAGCGTTGCCTTCGGCGCATTTTCGCATGGAGAAAGGAACATGTAGTCGACCGCCAGTACGACAGACAAACTTCAACAGCAAAGAACAGAACAACACGACCGTCGCAGTTCGACACGAGACCTAGGAATGCACTCAACCCAACTCAGTCATAGAGAGAAGCCGTTCATTCGAGGCGCATTCAGCCATATGCGAAGAACGCTGTAGGCTACACAACAGACGCAAAGACGCATTCAACAGCCGACAAGAGATCCAGAAACCAAATAGACCGTCGGTGCAGTTGACGCGTCCGGAATCATGTCACATCATCTACCAATCATCATCAGAAGCAAGCGGTAATCGCTCTCGGCGCTTCCGCGCATATGAGAGAAATCGCTAGTAACCACAGAACAGACAAACTCAACCAGCCACCGCAACGAGTGAAACAAATAGACCGTCGCAGTTTGACACACCTAGTTCGCAACCTGAACCAATCAAGTCATAGGAGAAGCGTTCCATTTCGGCGCAATCTCGCATAGAGAGGAACATGTAGTACACCAACAGAACAGACAAAACTTCAACAGCTTCACAGAAGCAGAACAAAATAGGACCCGTAGCCGCGACGTTGACGCGTGAGCGATCAATAGTAAATCAAGTGAGCAAAAAGCTTCGCCGCAAGTGAGTGTACATAAAGAGCAAGCGTTCCATTCGGCGCACTTCGGCATAGGAGGCGAAGAGATTGATGTAAGCAAGTACTATTACTCGTCACCCAACGAGAACAAGATCATACACCCTTCAAATGCCATGGCCCAAAGAACATACGACAGACCCTTGACGCCGCCGGTCCGCAGTGTGTGACAGCTGCCGTGCGAAACCTATAGCTAAGTAAGGCACCCTGACAACTCTTCATACATAGAGAGTCATAGGCGGGTTCCATTTCGGGTGCGCATTCCGCATAAGAGAAACATGTATTAGCACCGCCAAACAGAACAGACAAACCATTTCAACAGCCAACAGACTCACGACAAATCAGACTCGTCGTGTTTTGAACGGCGCTCTCTCTGGGAAAACCTAGTAATAACATCAAACAGCCAATCATGCATAAGAGAAGACAGCGTTCCCATTCGTTACGCCTTCGCATCGACGAGGAACTGTGCTAACCATCCCGAACAGAACAGACAACTTCAACAGCCCAACAGAACAGAACCAAATGACCGCAGGTCGCAGTTTGACTGCGTCCGGCAAAACAATAGGTAATCACAATCAAACACCAATAGATATGAATAGAGAGTGCGCGTGTTTCCATTCGGCGGCATGACGCATAGAGAGAAACATGTAGTACACAACAGAAAGACAAACCTTCAACGCAGCCCAACAGAAAGAGAACAAACACGCACGTCGCAGTTGACACAGTAGTAAATCATCAACATCATCAATAGAGAGAGTCGTTCCCAATTCGGCGCATTCGCATAGAGCAGAAGATGTAGTACAACCAACAAATCAGGACATGTATAACGTTCACAGCGGACGGACAAGCAGAACAACGACAGACCGTCGGCCAGAGTCCTTTGCCGAATCCCTATATGCTGATAATCACATGCGTCTCCACACACCGCCGATGCTATATCAATCTAATTGAAGAGAGAAGACAGAGAGTATCGCACCAGTTTGGTCCGGGTTCGGGGCAGTAGAAGCAAAATGTAGTCACAGAAAGCGCGCCGACGGGCCGAAGGGCCCGCCGCAAGTATAGCGACGGATATGATTCCTGATCTCATTCTTCCACACTCGCGAATCGTAATATCAGAATTAAATTATTGGATCTGGTTCTCGCAGTTTGCGCGTTCGGACCAGTGAAGGCTGTGATCAGCAGCGGACGTTTGTGAACTGTGAGCAGAGACTCACGATGCATACCGGTTTCATTACGCGCAGGCGGCTAGCAGCACGAGGTAGACTATGTCGTTATTCACTCCTGGTGCAATCAGAACCGCTATCTCTCCCGATGGAGAGAGAAGCGTCGCCAACCGACGTCAGTAACAGCCGTGTCGTCATGACGCTATAGCGCCCACCAAGGTTGCGTGCATATCGCCGCGCTATTGTCGCATGACGCTGTAATGACGGGGTTTTCGATTCAAATTAGTGCGCACCACATATGTGTTCGCATTGTACGAGGCAGATGTAAGTTTGAAGCGTTCGTCGGCATTTGTCGGATTAAGTGTCGATACTCGGACTTATCGCCTTCTGCGTGATCATATATTTAGTTATCAGCAGCCCTCATCTAGAATTAGTGTTTCACAGTGTTCGATGCGCGTACCGCCCCGTCCTTGTATACAAAGAATCGACTACGCACCAGCCTGTCGGCAGCTCAGTCGGCGCAGGCTTCGCTTCTCAGGCATCGTGCATACGTAGGAACTTGTTTATTCAATGCATGATATACCGTGCCGTTCAATTATACTGCTACAGTAGGGACGAAGCCGGATTCCATTTCGAGCCAGGCGCATTCTCTCCCGCCATTACGCAGAAGATGAACATCGCATGTTCCGCCGTCGATATAACCAGAAAAGGCTACGGTACTTCAAAACACTGCTCGAGAGAGTTAGCGGCCCAACCAAGACACTCTACACGCTAGCAAGTCTCTCTTGGTTTTCATGTGCGGTCCACGGGTTGAGGGCAATCTGAGAGTAGTATTTGCATGGTCAACCCAATCATCGGTAAGGCACAGCCAACTGATGATACGCGCTCTGCGAGCTAGTCGTTCGGGTGCTATATAACGACCTAGGCGAAGGCAACATGAGTAGGACACTGCTCTCCTTCTACCGCACATTAGATACATGTACTAAAGACATATAGTAACAGACATGCGGCACTCACGCGAAGAAGAGCGGTCGAGAATACTTAAGAACGCAGGGCAGGCTCCAGTTTGTCTCCGGCTCCTCTAAGAACATTTGTAACGCTATCGCTGCTTTGACAATTATTTTTAGAGGAGCAACGCCGTCGTCAATTCCGGCGGGTGGCAAGATCCCCGCAGTGTTGCTCAGCAATAACGGAGAGAGAACACGATTGTTTGACGTCACAAACAATCAGAGTGGGCAGAAAGATTCCCTTCTTCCGCAACACGCGTCCAGTTAACTGTCCCACGCAGCAATCCGTCGCAGTATTGACCACCTAGTAATCCGTCGCCCAAATCACGCCAGAGAATCCTATTCTGCGCTGCGGAGTAGAGCGAAAGATTCTCTAGGTTCGGCCGCACCACGTTTCATTGTCACTCTGCATCTAAGGAAAGATGAGAACATCACTCGGTAGGTCTACACCCCGATCGCCCAGAAGAGATCCGGAATTCGTCTCAAGAACATCGCCAACCGAACGAGAACAAACCAGACCGTCGAGTTGCCCACAACTAGTACCAATCAACCAATTCATCATAGAGAGAAGGCCCGCTTTCTATTTTTCGTGTCTCTCGGCAAGTACATTCGGACTATAATCGAGACATTCCAGGTGATCCATTGGTAGCGTGTTGTAAGAGGCTCGAGATTTTGCTGCCGGGACGCAACCACCCGGGCAAACTGCGCTCGCATCAAATTCAGAAAAAAAGAGCTCGGGACCTACCCGATGCAAGCGCGAGACGACGTACAAACCGCTATCGAAGCAAAAACCGTCACATCTCCGTTCGCAGTGGTTCACTCACCGGCTCCAAAAAGAGCTACGATCTTCTGCTTTCGCGGGTCGCAAGTCCGGTGCTAAAGAGGCATTTTAACAGCTGGGCGACTAAGTGATACAGATTAGTCCCTCTCTCTCCTCCCCGTCCCTGTGTGAAGCGTCGTCTCTATTCCGGGCGCATTCGCCATAGACGAGGCCCATGGTATGTCATCAGTTCCTGTCGCCGAACAGACCAACGCGACTTTCGAACCTCTGCAAGGCGATGAACGCAACCAGAACGCAACAGTTTCGAGCCCGCACCCAAGATCTAGGATGCCTAGGTTCTTCAACGCAGATTTGAAAGACCGAGATTCCGGATACATGCACTGTAATCCACCGTTGAAGAGTCGCCAATCAATAAGGTGACGTGGTATTCATCGGCGCATCGTGGCGCGGCGTTGCGCAGGGCGATGCGGCCCGTTGGCGGCCGCGGTGGCGCTGCGCAAGTATGGTGCGCGCTGCCTGGCCCCTGGCGGCGCGCGCGGCCCGCGCCTGGTGCGCCGGCTTCCTCACCGCCTAGCTGCTGCTGAACGCGCGCGAGCACGAGGCGGTTGCGGCGCCGCCGCCGCGGGCGGTCGTGGTGTGCCGCCCCGCCCGCCCGCCGCTCGCGCTGCGCCGCCTCGCCACCCACGCGCGCAGAGCCCAGCCTGGCGGGTCGTCGCGCCCTGCGGCACGCCCTGCACGCCGCCGCGCGCAAGCCCGCGACCCGCTCGCGCGGCACACTTGTGAGGCACTGCCCCTGGCCCGAGGAGGAATTCCATCTCGAGGACGCGCATGTTGCCGGGATTCCTGATAACTTCCCCTTCGCTTGGTAGCTTGTTTGCTTCCCTGTGAGCCCCTCCGCATGCCTCCGTCTGCCTTCCTGACTGCATTCCCTGTCCGCCTTCAAGCCTGTGTGACTGTCCGCTCTGCCCGTCTGTCTGCTTGCCTGGCTGCCTGTCTGACACAGTCTGAGTTTATGTATCTCCCTGTCTGCTGGATTCACCGCTTCTCTGTTCACCTTTCTGTCTGCGTGCGTATCTGATTCCTGCTTGTGTGAAATCTACCACCCTCACTGTCTGAACCTGTATGTCTACATGTCTGCATCAGTCTGTCTGTACGTCTCCATGTCTGTCTGCCTCACTGTCTCCATGTCTCCCTAGGTCTGCACGTCTCCCTGTCTGTCTGCCTATCTCCCTGTCTATCTGCGTGTCGCCCTGCCTGTCTGCATGTCTCCCTGGCAGTTTGCATGTCTGTTTGCATGTCTCCCTATCTGTCTTAATATCTGTGTCTGTCTACATGATTCCGTGTCTGTCTTCATGTCTCCCTGTCTGTATGCATTCTCTCTGACTGCAAGTCTCATTTTTGAAATATTTTGTAATGCCTAATTTGCTTTCGCCTATTAAACATTCAAAAAAAATATTCATCATGTAATAAATTTAATAATTGCTATCTGAATTTGGACTGTCTACAGCGCTAATATGACGAACGCGTCCGAAATGTATTAAAAATATAAACTTGTATTTTTTTCTGATGTGTCCGTAGTGTGTAGTGTTAATATCCTTCAAAAGTCGGGTTTTCGAATTGCAGTCACAACTCTCATTTTGGAGACACATTCCGTTTCTTGCAGTGATGTCGAAGCGTCTTTCCAGCAGCTTGTTTAAAAAAATGCTCACCTCAAGCACACCAAGAGTTGAGATCAGTCTTGCATAGTGTACATGGGGTAGTACGATCTGACCTGTGTTGTGACAGATCGTATCAAGTGTATGCCATATCGGTTACGTGTATCGTATAGTATTGTAGCAGTATCGTATAGTAGCAAGTGGCTTCACGAATCTAGTTCGCAATTGAATTGCATATTTCCTCTATCATAATGGTTATCATCTAGTTATCAACCGTCATCTTTAATTGTATATAAATGACAGCAGATTTCAAAAAATATACTTGCGGAAATCATAAATATATGTATCAACATATCAATATGTTTCTTTCTCTGCCTTGAGACCATAGCACTACACATTTCCAGCCTCACATGCCTTGGGCATTCGCAGGGCTGCCAACGCCCAGGCGGCGCTGCCGTTCCTGGAGCCGTCTCCGCTGAGCGCGCACTACTCGCGCAGCTACGCGGCGACCGAGCGCTCGGCCGGCGGCGGGGCCCTGCGCGCGGAGGTGGACGTCCTCAACGGCGCCGACAGCACCGTCCCGGACGCCGTCTTCGCCGACATTTTCAAGAGCACGGACGACGCCACGCTCGAAGCGCTTGTTCAGGCGCGTATTACTCATTCCTTCCTTCCTTCCTTCATTCATTCTTTTCCTCATTCGCGTATTCGGGTAGTCGCATATTCGCGTATTCGCTTATTCGCGTATTCACTTATTCGCATATTCGCTTATTCGCGTATTGGCTTATTCGCGTATTGGCTTATTCGCGTATTCGCTTATTCGCGTATACGCTTATTCGCGTATACGCTTATTCGCGTTCCTCGCGCCTTTCTAGGGGCGGTCACTAGCGGCAGGGCTCGGAACTTTAGAAATGGCTTATCTCTAAAGCGATGACTATCAGGGTCTGCCACCGGTCGTGCAGATTGCAGGAAAAAAAAAAACCATTTTCTCCTCGCCTGCGACATATTACGCCGTCTTCGCTGACATTTCCAAGAGTACGGATAACGCCACGCTGGAAGCGCTTGTTCAGGCGCGTATTATTCATTCTTCATTATTTTAATCATTCACGTATTTGCGCATTCGCTTAGTCGCGTGTTTCGCGCGCTCTCTAGGGACGGTCGCCTGCGCCAGGGCTCGGTCTTTGCAACTTTGGAGAAGGCTCATCCCTATAGCGACGACTTCCAGGGTCTGCCACCGGTGGTGCAAATTGCAGGAAAAAAAGAAATTTCCTTCTCGCCTGCGACACATTCGTTCAAATTTCTGAAGGGTTTAGAGAATTCAAGCGAAGTAGGCGGAATGGGCTGCGGATGTCTTCCCCTTTCAAACTTTATTTACACGAGTTTGTGAGGAGGTCTTATAACTGAACAATTGCACACATTTTGTAGTTCGTGTATTGCGTGCCTAATTTTAAAATGGTTAATGACCTCGTGGTTTGAGATTATCACAACCCTTTGTGTCAATTTGCTGCGGGTATGAATAGACATTTGTAGAATGCGAAGATATTCGAACATGTGCTCCTAACCTTTCTAAGAGGCCTTGTACCTCTAATGACGACGCGGTAACGAAATTAATTATTGTAAATATAAATCCATTAAGGTCCAAATAAACGTTGCTGCAGGTGGCACGAGCTCACCGTCCTTGCACGGGTGCGCACAGGTATATTGTTGAAGGTATCTGATAGCACCTGTCGGTCACTTAGCACGCCGCATTGTTATGTGCCTAAATTATAATATTAGACCGCTTCGTGCAGTAAAACCGTTAATATTTGCTGCATATAGCTCATGTCAACATCGAACTGGACCAATCACCGGTAGCTTTACTCTGGCTTCTCCTTCCAGACGTACAGCAGTTTAGCACCGGTGTATTCTCTGGCCATTCTCGTGGGCTTCAATAGTGGCACAACTAAGACAATTCGAAATTTAAATTAATACACTCTCCAGAATGGAAGATTGTTGTACCAGCAGCAACAGCATTATATCTTACAGTACAGTATTTCATCACATATGGCAGAGGAGTGAGTGCATGAATGATGCATTTCAATAGAAGGTGAAATTTCACCTGATTTTTGAGTTGTGTCACTATTGCAGCCCACGAACGATATATTGATCCGAGGTAAATTAACAACATCTTTCAGAAATTACTTGCTTTTACGATTCTTTTAGAATGTTTTTGACTAACGAGGATATAAAATTAACAATTGTACGGAAATAAAACAGATTTGAGCTGACCATTTTAGCTTCTTCAAGCCAGGATACTGGGAGTTAAGAGGAACATTCTCATTTAGATGGATTAAAAAACATTAACGCCTGGATTTTTTAAACATCAAATGACTCATCCTGAGCGTAAAACTACAAATCAATCGATGCGAATATGATAATCTGATACTGATCTGATAGCGAATACTTTAATAGTAGGTGTGCATTTATTTTGTTAATTCTTTATTTCACAGGCATCAATATTATTTACCAGCTCAGATTTCTTCTATGAACAAATTATGCAGGAAGTCCTCAACATGGACAATAAGAAAGAAGGTAATGCCCCTGAACACACAGAGGAATCAAAGCCAAAAGGTAAAACAAAAAGCGCTCGAAATGCGAATGGTGAAGAAGAAGCAAATGGTTGTGATCCAGATGTGGAAGGCGAAGAATGTGAAAAACGCAGAGAGGACATTGGGTTCGCTGAAGATTTTAAGAAGCACCCGGACTTAGGCGTATTCAAATCGATTTGTGGCAACAGAAACATCAGTCTAAGCGAATGCGGCTTGCGAAGTCTTGAATATCTTATCCAGAGCCGACAGCGGCGGCGGAATGAGGAGGGCGATGAGGGGTACGTGAGCGACGTGGGGCAACCGGATGGCACTCAGGAACCGAGAGCGGAAGGCAACGGCAGCCAAGCAACAGAGAGCAGGGCGAGAGCGCATGGCCCAAAAGCCACCGAGGGGCGGCCGAGGAACTGGCACAACCTTTGTGACTACGACAACACAGGTACGGATGTTGTGGTTCTTGAATCAACAACATTATTTGTATTGATACCAGTGACAGACCAATCATCGTTATCTCAATATTAAGAAACCCAAAGTTTTCTTATTTCCAATTTCGATTACTATTAAATCACTATTTCACTTAAGAAAAGGATACGCAGCTTTCTTGGATAACCAGAAACGGACCCTTTCTGAAACTATTTAAATGTATTATGTATTGTTATAATTGCCATTTCCTTTCCCATACACATATTACTTTAAACTCGTTCATATAAATGACAATCAGAAGTACAGTTGTAACGTTATCGGGTAACTACAATTCCAAAGGATGTGTTAAATGAATATTATGCTAATCGATTTATTACGAGCCAGTAATTCACTTTTTCGGTACCTATACTGCGATTTTGGTTTCGATATCAAGATATTCTTGATTGAAGAGTAACGACATCAATCTCGTAAATATTGCCACTACAATATGAATATTCGTAGATGGGAAGCAGTACGAGCCCCTGTCCGCAGGATGCGACGGGCAGCGCTCGAGAAGCGGAGCGGGGGCGGAGGCGGAGGCGGAGGCGGAGGAGCGACGCGGCTTCTCCAACGAGCAACTGCGGCGCTTGCTGGGGGTCCGCAGCCAGCCCTTCGAACCCTTCACAGGCCACGTGGCCTTCCAGGCCCTCGGAGCCTCCTACTTCGTGCCCTTTGGCGCCGACTTCGCCAGGCAGCTTTCCGACTGTAAGTACAACTGTCCCCTTGCATGCAAACAATATTATTTTCAATGCTAACACATCCCCATCAATAGGTCAACAGTAAATATATGAAATCTATAAGTGGTCACTTACAGGAAACAGAGTACGTTCCTTGTGTAAGGAGAATGAATTTTTCTTTAATCATAGAAAACATTTCTATTATGTTTCGTCGTTTTATTAATTAATTAAACTCTATTTATTTATTTATTTATTTATTTATTTATTTATTTATTTATTTATTTATTTATTTATTTATTGACAGGCATTTAAACTACATTTATGTTCAGAAATTACATCAGGGACTATCTCAGTAATCGCTTCAAGGCTCAGGGAAACTGGAGGAAAAACCTGATCGATGCACTTTTATTGACTCACAAGCTGAGGAACAATATTTGTGTCATGTGTATTTAGTCTTGTGATTGTTAGGCAATGTATTGTGTATCTTTTCTACGACCTTAATAGTTGACGCACCCGGAAACAGTCGATCCATCCGTGTCCCCTGGTTCGATATTTTTACATTTTTAAGAGGGGCAATGACGTACACCTTAAAAGTTTGACATGGCAATTTTGTTTTTGACTATTAGAATTTCCTAATCAACAATTTATGAACTGAATTCATTGCTCTCAGCTGCTTGTAGGGTGTATCTTCTGTTACTTGGATACAGATGGACCACCCAATGACGCCACAACGAATATCTTCGAAGCGGTTTGAAGAGTCGGGATGCAATTTGCTCCAAGTTTATGTGGATGATATGAGGAACTACATATTTCTAGTTTGAATATTTTTAAAATTTTTGAGATATTGACACCGTCTTCATTTAAAAGAAATGGAAGTATGCATTTTTCTACTGCCATTATGAAGAGACAAATATAAGGATATAAGCATTGTTAATATTCGTAAGAAACTGTAGAAAAACTGCCCTCTACATTTTCTCGTCTGCCGCAACTTTCCGCAACAGTTACCAGTGCGTAAGCCAATTCTGCTATATTATCGTCACGAATAATGTAATATTCTAAAATAAAAGATTGAATAAATCTTTTTAAAATGACAAAGGGAAGACAAGAAATAGAAGAGGAGATAGATATAGGAGGAAAACCAACACAAACTTATTATTCCGCCAGATGCAGCTAGAATCAGTGACATTAATGGCTTACAGCAAAAATAGTGTTGAACAAAACGACACAAAATGGTATTCCTAAAAGTAGCATGCGCACTACTCTCTATAATAACATTGCAATAAATGAAATATTTTAACAAAAAAAATCCTCAAGAATACTGTAAAAACAAAGAGTAGTGTATACGAATATACAATACAACAGTTCTTTACATACCAAGAATATAAAAAAAGGCTTCGCGACACTACATGTTAATAACTATATTTAATGGCGGAGGGCCCATTCCTTAGAGCCCTGCTATTACATGACGTCAGCTGTAGAAGATGGTTCGCACAGATGTGGGGAATTTAGTCTGTTGGCGCAGTGTGAAGGTAGTCGGAAAAACACAATCAAAGATTTGCATTTTTCGGTCAGTTTCTGGGTAACTAACAACACCAAAGACACATCTCTATGGCCGGAGGCTACATAGTTTTCTTTCAATTTCTGAGCGCAATGGAAACTGGTAATATCGATAAACATCTAAAATTTCAATTTAAAAAATCTATGAATAATTAGTCAATGTTCTACATTCATCATGTGCCTGAAATAAGTCTGCCAACCCTTCCTTTAAAAGTCTTTACCGTCCGCAACCGATATCCTTAACGCGTATGCAATCTTCTTTTCTGAATGTTCATCAACCGTTTGAACTCACTCATTAAACGCGTTAGTGCACTTCCAGTGAAATCAAAGGGCAACTTTCCTGACCCGAGTGTCGCGACTAATTTTAGTGCGCACAGTCAACCACTTTTAATCGGCGCCGCGTTTCGCTGGGCCCGCAGGCGTCGCGAGCAGAATTCTGCCAAGAGAGCTCCCGCCCGATAACAGCGTCGGAGCTGGTGGATTTCCCACTCGCAGTGTCAGGAGGCGCCCCGAAGCAACGGCTGCGCTCGCGTCATTGATAAACCCTTGCGCAGAGGGGCCTCAACGAGTACCAAGACGTGAGGGTTATCTAATGATGAACAAACTTTCGTTTTTTTTATCCCTTTCTCACCTTTGCGATGTAAAATTTTTAATTTATTACATGGAAACGTATGAACGAATATAATATTCTAACGACCTATTAATTTTTCTATCTGTATTTTTAACTTTTTGTTACAAAAGAATAATTACGTATACAATTAATATTCTAACTTTTAGAAAATGTCTTTGTTCTTTCTTCTGGTAATAGGCGTCAAAGATAAGAGAAATATGAAGTAAAAGCCGCCTTGTTCGTTTGAAAATCTTACTTGCAATATGTTGAATGTAATGAACAAAAGAGAAACTAACGTTTGAGTTCTGCTTTTAACACAACACCGAAATTAGATGTTTCATTTATTTAAAATTTGTTTAGTTCCAAAAATTCAACAAATTATGAGAACATATCCGTTAAAACTTGCAAACTTAAGGATTTTGCATTGTTCGTGATAACATCATTATCGTATCATGATATGCATCAAATCCGATAATACAGTTTATTCTCGAATGCCTTAGGACGAACGAAATATTGATGAAATTTTCTCGCTCGGTCAGAAATTACAGCCGACAATTTTAGCGACTCCTCAACTGTGGTTCGGACGATCAGATGGTCCAGTCCTATCAAGTTGAGCCTTGGTCAGTCACTCTATAGCAGCTAATCATCTACGTAGAAACCAACCACTGAGAGAATAATAATTATAGGGGTCGATGATGCTTCATTTCTGTGTGTGTCTCCGCTTAATTCCAGGGGAATAACGGAGCAGTAACTTGTACAAGCCACGGATTATGAGCGCTCCTTGCTTCTCCAATTCACCTGTCGCCACTTGTCACTTCCACCCTTGAGGCTAAGGGCACACAAGCGTCAAATGAATAACGGTGAATGTGCGTCCGTCGTAGGGTGAAAGTATCGCAAGCGTACCGCGGCCCAAGAACGCACTGGGAGACGTGTGTTAAAAATAGCGTCCGTTATGTAGGACAACGGACGTCAAATGCTAGCCAACGTACGTTACTCCTTGACAATATTAATAAACGATCTGCGTTGCGGCCGACTTTAACTAAACACGTATCGCAGAGCAATTATATACAGATATGCGAGCAATTATATATAAATATGGATAGAATAGACATGAACCGGACATGTACAGAAGTGATCGGTTCTATTGAGATTCGTCAATTTCTATATATAAATTTTAAAAAAAATATATATGAAGGAAATGTGCGTTATTTTGTATTCCACATTCCAATCGAAAAACAATGAGGAGAAAAAAACATCACTGTTTCTCGTCCCATTGACCGCAGAGTTGGCGTAATTCATCATATTATCAACAATGACATTTTGTTAGGGGGGTTACTACAGCTGGAAAGGTGCTTGAATCTGGAGGGCCCCAACAGCGTTGTTCGGGGGAGGAACACCGCCAAATCCAGGGAGTGCACTGCACGAATACGACCATAGCGTACTGAAACACCAATTAACCAATCTTTCGAGAGTTTCTTTTTAGGTTCATTGTCGATGTGGAACAAAACGTTCATACACTTGCGATACGTAAAGAAATGGTTTATGATCTTGGTCCCATTCGTGGGGTAATTGCTTCTGACACAACAGAAAATCTCATGAATAGAAAGTATTCAGAAAATATTTGGTATGATCAATGCAGTGCATACGTCCTATTGCATTGTTTCTTACACTCTTTCCACTGTTGTGAGTGTTCTTTCAAGGGTCTCCGCGGAATAAAAATCTTTTAAAAATTTTACGGTTTGTTGGGAATATTTTTCAAAACGGACAACTTTTCTTGCGGAATTCGAACTAAAAAGGTAAAATTAATTATTTTTTTATCCATCTGAGACTTTTAAAACAAAGCGAAGGAATTCTCGAGAATTAGTGAAAAGAAGTCAACCAACACGATAACAGGAGCGGCGTCATCCGGGAGGCTTTTTCAATGGGGACGATCTTTGTTCCGAAGATAACGCCGAAAGAACCCTGAACTTCGTTTAGAGACACGCCTTCGCTGATAACAGCACCGCACCAGAAGATGTCTTGGATTTCCGCCACATCCACATATGGACCTTTCATACATTCAATACACTGGTGGAATAGCAGTATATACAGAATGCAGAGCAAATTCAATATACTGGTGGTATTTTATGGTAATCTCAAATTCGCTTTTCTAAGATCGTATAAAATGAGAGACTTTACATACTGCTGCACTTGCCTCACACCACAATGCAAAATATTATTTTTCGCAGACAGATGGCGAAGATGGTGATGAACACTTTGATTCGATTACTACGAAAAAAGATAAAATTACTGGTTCTTAGTTGAAACATTTTTATGTGATCGTAGAATAGAGATACTTTTTAATAGGTGAAATCATTGTGCATGATCGATTGCTGTTTGCCTGGTGTTTTGACAAATATCCCAATCTCAATCGCGTCGAAATCAATCATTTATGACTCAAAATAAAATAAATTTTGATCGTTTGAGTTATGTCGATATGTTTGTTTCCTCTATCAAATGGAGTTATAATGAGAATTACAAAACATATTCACAATAAAATGTGTTTAAATCAATATTTAAAAAATAAATCAAAATTGGATATATGAAAAAGAAGTAATCTTCCTCATTAAAAATGTATTTATACTAAATGCAGATCTTGCATTCCCGCATTTACGTTTCGAGAACTTTTACTCATCGGTATAAAAGATCTGTGAAAATATATTTTTATTGTGAAAGATGACTTCGCTCTATCTATCTATAAGGATTTTAAGAAGGTTTCTGCGATAATCGCAGAGTTTAATTCAAAATTATTATTTTTCGAGTTGTGATAGTATTACATCCCACAATTCCAAAGAAAACGGTATGTCTGCAAAATCTTCTGTTTTTACCCATAGGTATTCTAATCCATTATTGACTTCTTAGTCTTACTCACGAACAAAATTTCAATGATGATTGACCTACTCGGCCCCTGACCCTCGCGTAGGCGAAGTAGGAAGCTGCCGTCTTTATGCCCTCCCCTCCCTTCCCCTTCGCTACGCACATGGTCATACTCGTGGATTGCAATTTCCTTAACTTGAATGGACGGTGTTATGTGTGAACTCGAAGAGTGAACGATCGCGAGAGATTAATTATTTTGGATGCGATGACAGCTTTGAAGTATGGTGCTATGGACAGTTAACGTCCCAATCGCAAACACACAGACCCAAACTAACTGCTAGACTCAAACCTGTAGCCTTCGTGATCTATGTACTTGGACACTGCTCTAATTACCTACATCGCTGAGAGACACAATAAAACCATTACACATTATATAAGCGTTACATAATCCAGCGAATATATATTTTGTGAATTCACATTTCGTTAGTATTCATCCACTGACAATACTGTAAGACGGATATCAAATGTTGATTTGGCTATAGAGCCCGAGAGGTGAAGTTACCAATTAACCACACTCAGTAGGTGAAGAATAACATTGTTCCTTATTTGTTTATCAAAAAACCTTATTTAAAACACATTGTTGCGCCTTTTTCGAAGCTACATCTTTTAGCCATCTTTGGGGCAATGAGCGTATATATATTTGGTTGAATCAGCCGTTGCCTTTTTATACCTTTCTTGCCAGGGGCTCGGCGCCGTTAGTGAACGGGGTTCGCAGATGGTCATCCGTACAGAAATCCGTGGTGTCTCAAGTTACTTCGCTTCTGTGACTTTATGAAGAGAGTTAAACCATTCAGTAACGACGCCGACTGCCATTTAAAATGACGTTAATTGTATATTATGAGCTAATTATCGATATTTGTTAGTCCCATGATCCCCTTGGTTATGTCCAAAATGGAAATTTTGTTCGGAAGACGAAACGATGTCGCCAGTCGTCTCATTTCCCTGACGTAATATAAATACACGCGCAACGCGATTTCATAAGCGCACAGGGAGATAATTTGATAACTAAAAGCCGCGCGCGCTTAGGTTATCGCGAAAAAGTGCAAGCACCGTATAATGATACATATTTGTTGTGAAGCTAATAAAATACACTTTTAAAAAAGACAATTTTTTCTTTTAAACATTCTTTTTGCATCGTAATATTGGAATTATTATACAAAAATATATTTTAAGCAAAATTACTACTTTTAGTAAATATCCACATGTGATTTATTCTGCCGTCAAAGTGACGCATTATTCAGTTTTAAATGTTGAACCTGTTATAATTAAGAAAGAAGAAACATTCTTTGGAACATACGTAAATTTCTTTGAGCATGGAATGTTGATCGGCGTGTCTGCAATACTCATATTTATAATTACAACACACGTCGAAGAAATCACGTTGACCAAGTGTCAGTATCAAAAGCTCACTACCAGAAATCCACATACAATACATGTACGGTACTTTACAACGCATTGCCAGATGACATTAAACAATTGAAGTTGGTACAGAAATTTAAGTTAAAGTTAATATCTTAATAAAACAATAATGCAGCAGAAACGATATTACTTAAAGTGGTGTATCGACTGGAATTATATTCCAATGTACTTTAAACTAACAAACATGTTATTTGCGGACACGAAATTAATATATAGATATATATTGTATTGTATGTGTTTTTCTAGTAGTGAGCTGTTTATACTGACACTTGATGACCGTGATTTTTACGAGATGTTGCTTATAAATATCAGTATTGCATGAAAATATGTTCACACCGTTAAGTCAGTGTTGACAAATATTACAAATTCGTGAATAAATAAGCAAGGCAATGGTAAGATTCCAAGCTCAATGAGAGGCTTGCAGAGATCACGCGGACGGCATTTTTTCATTATTCCAATAATTTTCTTTTGTAATCGAAAGGTCTGGGTACTTGAGCTTCCCCAAACTATTATGCCATATCTCAGGCGGGAAAGCACATTTGCAAAGTACACGCAACGAATAGCATGAAGGCTGACAGATTTTGAAAGAATTCTGAATGCGTAACATAATGAACTTAATTTAGTGTTTAATTCTGTTATGTGTACTGAGTTATTTGAGGTTTGACTGAATTGAGAGACCTAGAAATTTTGTTACATTAATATGAGGTAATTACATATTGTTAATTTTCAATGGAGCATACGATTGCTGATTTGAAATGCAAAAATGCATCGAAACGGTTTTTCCTTCGTTAACTATTATTTTGTTATTACAAAACGATTTTGAAACTTCTTAAGTCGTAGTAGTTATTGTTTCTTTTTTGCAAAGAACATTTGTGTCAGCGGCAAACAGACACGTTCTTTCCTTTTTAATAGACAAGAGCATATCGTTTACTTATAACAGAAAGAGAATAGGACCTAAGATTGCGGGACCTCATATTCAACTGGTAAAGAATCGGAAGTAAATAATGTCCTTTCGTGTCCGTACGGTATTTCTGTTTGAGATCTTTGTTTAAGGTACGAGTATATCTCATCTAGGGCGATACCACAAATTCCATAAGAAGGTAATTTTGATAGCAGTATTTTATGGTCAATAACGTCAAAAGCTTTCAAAAGATCTAAAAATATTCCAACGGGTGCTTCATTTGGTCCATTGATTAAGCAATGTCTTTAAGAAAAGAAAAGAAATGGTAATTTCCGTAGATTTTGATTTTCTAAAACCATGTTGTGAGTCTGAGAACGACTTGTATTTCCTAAGAAAACTTTTCATTCGCGCATAGGAAAGCCTCTGTAATATTTTTGAGAAAACAGACAAAAGAGAAATTGGTCGGTAAATTTGGAATTAATTTTTGTTCCCATTTTTAAAAATTGACTTAATTTATGCTGTTTTGGAAATATCTGTAAAAATTCCTGTACATAAAGAAGCATTGAAAATATGATGTGGCGTGTGTAAATGCATGTACATAAGTTTTCAATAAATAATCCGGAAATACATCTAAACCAGATCAATATTTATTTTTTAGTTAACTATTCTCAGTATTTCGCAAGAACAACTTCACTTTGCGCACTTTTATTTGAGCTCTTATTTAGCTAGTATTGTTAGTTGCTAATATTGTAGAGCTGAAGGTATGGGTTGATATTTTGTTTCCAATTCTATAGAATGAAGCTTGTAGTTCATTTACCGATACACATAAGTATTCTACAACACTGTAGCGAGAATGTCTAGTTTTCAAACCATGTTTTGCTAACAAACATTTCTTGATACTTTTACTCAACTATGACTTAAAATGACGGGGAACTCTAGAACACTAGCGCAGGCTTACACTTCTCTCCCATAGTCATATACAGTTTCTGTTTTTTGTACGAAATTCAATAAAATCAAAATTTATTCAGGTGTAACAAAATTTGAATTCTTTGGTTATGTTAACTTTTATTGGTCCGAGAATGTCTTGTTTTTGAGAGACAGTTATGTGAATCATGTTTAAGATGTTGACCAGTGTTTCTTTCGTATACGAGCTTGACAAATGTGACGAGGAGGCAGTGATGGTAAGGTTGCAACATTGAAAGCTGATAGCGCTGCATAGTAACATACCCGAAAGAGTAAGACAATCTAGCGGGGTCCAGGTCATAATCAAATCACATAATTGTGATACATACATCAAGAAGTAGTGTAACGTGGCGAAAACCACGATGATAACGTGACAAAAGTTTGCAGTACGATAATTTTATTGAATCTGTAATCATGAGACTTTTTTCTGAAGCTGTGTGAATGAAGTTGTTAAATATACTAATTTCGAATGTACAAATATATACGTATAATGTAATGGAAAACTACAGAGGCTATGATCACGTGAAAGTGTCAATGCTTTCGGTAGATACTCAGGAAGACTGGAAAAAGGCCGATACAAAATTTCGATTTTGACTCAAAATGCATATATTTGGCAATTTAATCATCATTTCAATATTTAATCTACTCAATAGGAACAAATATTTCTACAGTTTCTTTCCGAATATTAAAAATACGTGTATCATTTGGTCTCTTCGAGATCTTTATCTCTGGATTAGAGCTGGAAAAATATGGCTCCATTTAAAATATGAATCATACGTCAATAACTAAAAAATTAAAAATGTTTCAAAAAATAAAATGAAATACGTTATTCTGCCCATCATCCACAAGTCGACTCAAAATGCCTACCGTTATTTAAACCGTTTCGAAGATTCTTGCTGTGACACATATAAGTGGTTCATTCTCTACAGCGTTATACATCTATAATGTGTTTGAGTTTAGTATGTTCAATGTTATTATCTCCTTGCAGTAATTTCCATACAAGCTTTCACCGATATATGCGCTGGCATGGAAGCCAATTAGCTTGGAAACTAGGGACCTGCAGTAGCAAAAAATGCTGCTTGGTAATGCGTGGAAATCAGCACAGCACAACAACAATATTAATAATAATGATAATGATCATAATAATATTAGTAATATTTATTATTATTATTATTATTATTATTTTCCTTAAATCACTATATCTGAAGAAAATACATCAACTTACCAAATTGTTCAGGCAAAGAGAGTAATTCCTGATTTCTACTTTTTTGCCTTCTGTTCTCTCTGTATTCCTTGCTCAATACTGCAAGCTTTAATTTCTGAAGCCTTCTTGTCTGATGCGAGGGTGCTTTAAAATAGCCTCTTTTAGATCTCTTCACCTGTAGCGGGAGAGCATTCCTAATCCCTCTTTCTGGGACATTCTTGTCGTTCAGGGTGCGTGAGAACACTCGTTTCTGTGAACTCGTCTATTGCAGGAGTGCTGTCAAACTCTCATATCATTGGAGAGAACCTATATTTTTGAGGTAGTCGGGCTTGTTCACAGGCTGTGCTCAAACTCGTAATTTTTACTATCTGGCCCTTACAAATTTACTCGGTAGGAAGGGAAAGTTATGTAATTGTACATCGGAAAACGGCGACATTTCGGCACAAAAATCTATCTAACAGTTTCCTTGCCCGATTGGAGGATGCGTTAAAATCGTCTGATCTACTTTGCCTGATATTCGAGTCCGAACGAACATTCCTTTCTAAGGCCTCGTTACCTGTAACAGGAGGGCATTCGTAAACACATTCTCAAACAAAACAACAAGGTCTCTTCCCTATTGCAGGGGTACCTGATAACTCACATTTCTGATTACCTTTTCTCGTTGTTGGACTGCCTTCACACCATCGTTTCTAAGTCCTCCTACAGGCGGAAATGGGTGAGAGCAATTACTGTTTCCACTGCAAGATCTTTGACAAGGAGGTTGTGGGGTGCAAGTCTCCCTGGCAGATAACTAGGTAAAATTCTGATGCTGACTGGAAGAGAATTACGGTTCGTTCAAAGTCCTCCTCACACTTTGAGGCGGCGATAGCGTAACGCTTAGCGTATCGGACTGTTATACGTGGAACGTGATACACGTGATACAAAGACGTGCATTTTTAGGGCTAAAAAATTATTCGTCGTCTTCCTTCGAAGGGGAAATGAAGCCGGCGGTCCAATGTTAGTAGT